CAATTGATTGAAAGAAATTCTTTAATGAGCTAATCCCTGGTTCTTTTATTTATTGTGCTAAGAGTATATTATTTTAATTTTGTTAGGATCAAATATTTTTAGTCAATTCTATTACGACAATTTATTTTTGTTGTCAGCAAAAAAATAAAAAATATATATATATCCCTGTTCCAAAACTTCGCAAAATATGAGACTAGTAGCGGCATTGACAGAGATATATTATGAAAAACTCTTAAACTCTTTTTTTTTATAAGCGCTAACTTACGGATGAGTGCCACTAATTTTCTGAATTTATTCAAACAGATTTTTGACATGCTTACTTAGATTGAAGTTGTGAATAGGAAAAGTACGAAATCAACTACTCATCAATATATATATATTATAAGGTGGCAGGTTGAAACAAAAACTCACAAATCCTGTGAAAAGACCCTGGGTAGGGTACAGCGCTTCTCTAGATCGCACACTTCATACTCGCCAAATCTTTAACCTCATTTAATGAGGTGAATTATTACAACAAAAATTCTAGAAAGGATGGTAGAGTCCAATATGGATTTGGCTAAAAAAAAAATCCCCTGGAAACATGATTTAGGCAACGCGAGTAACAGCTGCATGTATTGCCTCTGTAAGATGGGGGACGGTCCTTGAACTCAGACCAGCCATGCTAATCCTCCTGCAAAAAATGAAAAGAGAACTTAAGCCCTCATTATGCCAAACCCTCACTCTGTTCGTATCAAGATGAGTTTGGATATCAGTGTTCGGATAACAGATTTCATTTTATCCTAGTGCTAACTAAGGATAACAATGAAAACATAGGCATCGGGAAGACGAACACATACACAACAGCAGAACCTTAAAATTATATTCAGAAATAAATCTGATTGATTACCCATCAGATGTCATGTAGATATGGTACTCTTTAGTCATGAAAGCAACTTGCTCGGAGTTCAATCCTGTGAAGGTAAACATTCCAATCTGCTTGATGATGTGGCTCCAGTCACCAGGTGTGCCTGCAGAATATAAAAGTCAGCAAGGGGCAACAAATATGCAAAACTGCAAGGACTTTGGATTTCTTTACACTATTCCTTTGTCATTCGACTCATTCCTGTGTTGATTAATGATTTTTCTATATCCTATGCTGATCAAATGAGTAATTACATTGTTACTTTAGTTAATGATCTACATGACCAAGACTGTCATATATGGAAGTACTCACCCTTGGCACGCAAGGATTCAAACAGTTGATGTCGCATGCTGATGATACGGTCAGCCATTGCCTTCAACTCAATTGTCCATTCATTGAACAAGTCCCTGAGCGCAGAAGAAAAAGGCGATAAGGTAACTATAAGTCAAAGCAAGAAAAAAAAAATCTGGTGGAATTCAATAATTAGGTGGACGCATCAATCCAATTATTGTCATTTCACAGGCACCTGGACAAAGTTTAAAGAGTACCTATCCTTGAGAATGGTGGCTACAATAGATGCACCGTGAATGGGTGGGTTTGAATACATGGGCCTGATCACAAGCTTCAGTTGGCTCTCAACCTTACTTGCAACATCAGCAGTCTTGCAGACCTACGTTAGAGTAGAATTTGCAACAGACAACACAATCAAGAGATAACTTAAGATGGATGCCAAAAGTAGGTCTGAAAAACATTCTAGATTTAAAAAAAAAAAAAGAGTCAAATGGGCAGTTTTTTTCTTCTTAATTTTTTGTTGGATCTATCAAAGTAACGCAATCCCAAACTGGAAGTTATTGAACAAGTCTTACAATGCTTAGGGCACCAACACGTTCTCCATAGAGCCCCATGTTTTTCGCATAACTTTGAGCTATAAGGCACTCTCCACCATCAGCAGCAAACCTACGAACAGACTCTGCATCTGCATCCAAACTTCCACTAGCAAAACCCTACAAATACAAGAAAACATCAGGCATTAAAAGTAGAAATAGCATGACATTAAACAATATAATAAAATAAAATAGAAAAGGAAAAAACTAGTGTGCAGAAGATTCTGAACTTCATACACGACCTACCTGATAAGCACTGTCAAAGAATGGTAATAATCCTCTTGATCTCACAAGCTGTCTGATCTGCTCCCACTGCTCAAGGGTTGGATCAACACCAGTGGGGTTATGAGCACATGCATGGAGAAGTACAATTGCTCCAGCTGGGGCAGAACGAAGGTCTTCTAAGAGGCCTGTTAACAATGGGAAGAACCATAAGCAGTTTAGTGATATTATAACTACAGTGCCAATTAAAATACAAATGGAAGAAGATGAAACAGTTGGAGGGGAAACATTCTACTGTGACCGAAACAATAAGTAACTATTAACTAGTCTAATTTTAAACCTTGGAAGTTGAGGCCACGCGTTGCTGGATCATAATATCGGTAACTTTTCACAGACAACCCTGCCAGAGTGAAAACTTTTGTGTGGTTTCCCCATGTTGGCTGGGGTATGTATATTGTGCGCTGCAGAAAAATAGACAAGGTCAAGTTCACTGAATAAAAATCCAGATAATGGTAGAAGCATGAGGTGATGCAACAAGTAAGCACTTACTTCATGATAATGCTTTGCCAAAAATTCACCTCCAACTCTCAATGAGCCAGTTCCTGACAGACATTGGGCAGTAGTAATCCGGTTCTCTTGAATAGGAGGGCTGTATCAAGCAAGTAAATCATGCATGAAACCAGGTAAACAAGTGACCAACTCAAAAAAGGAAAAACTTTATAGAACAACAAGGGATCTGAACCTTAATAATCAGTCTTTTGTACCTGTCAGCACCAAGAATCAGCTTAGCACTCAGTTTATTGAAATCTGCCAGTCCAACAATAGGAAGATATTCCTTAACGCGAGACCTGGAATATAATGCAGATTTGAAACGTAAGTCCTCAACTAATAGTAGAAATCAGTTTAATGTCAATAACATTGGCTTCTTAGTTAACGGTGCAAATCAAACGATATAACCCACCTGTCATTAACAAGCAGCTGTTCTGCTTTCCTCACTACATTCAGAACAAGTGGTTTTCCTTCCTGTCATGCCATGAAGAAAGGCAGTTAAGAAATTTTACACATTCAAAAACCACAATCAAAACTATTACCATCAACGACAGTGCCTTCAAAATAAGAAATTTTAAAAAAATTACTAGACAACCACGATTTTTACAATGAGACAAACATCAGCATCTCCTACTACCATGTGAGCAGGCACGCTCAATTTCGATACATTAGAAAAGACATATTTGTCTGTTGATACACAAAATATTACAAAACAATAATTAAATTCAGTCCATAACAGACTCACCTCAGTTCGATAAGCACCAACACCCAAATTCAACTTAGCTGGGCTCGGATCTTTGTTGTATGCAACAGTCACCTGTTTGTTTGATCAAGAAAACCAAATAAACAAGTTTAAAAAATCAATCAATTGTTAAAAAAATCAGGTAAACAAAAACAAGCGTGATCAACTAAATCAGAGGATCAGTTGCATGCATGACACATGAATCATGATCAACATCAAGCTAAGATTAAAACACCGAAAAATGATCGAAATCGAACAATCAAAATATTGTTAACATTCAAATAAATCAATCACCAAAACTGTTTAGCTTAATCAAAACCAAAATTAATACAAATCAAATGAACATCTGAAATATCATACAAACATTCACACAAATATCAAGCAGAGATGAAGAAAGAGCGAGTACCCCAAGGATTGGATCCTCAGGGGCGCGAACGACGTGAGCGAAGACAGAATTGGCATGTGCCGAAGTTGGCGAAGCAGAGATTGAGCTGTTGTTGTTAGGATCCATGGCAGACGAATCAAGGTGGCGCACGAGAGCGTTGAGCCTCCGATCACTGCTGCTTGAAGAAGAAGAAGAAGAAAAGGCAGGAGAAGAACTATGGGCGTCGGGTGATGTGAACTGTGGGCGCATGTTAGGCAGTTTTATTCGTTCCAAGCTTAAAATACGCCTTTTTTAAGTCTGTATTCGGGGTTCGGTGTATCAGTGAGTAAAAGCAACAAATTTCTGACTGTTGGGGCATTTCCTTTTATAAAAAGAAAAAATGGCTTACGTGGGTGATTACGTGGCAAGTCATGAAGGCCTACCGTCTCTTTCGTGACACTTCCGATTAAGTGGCCCCCACCCTACTTTTCTCTATTTTCTATTATTTGCCCCATTTTATTATTTCAAAAACAAAAGAAACCCACAGGTCATCGTTGATTTCACCCGGGGCATTGCTTCTCGCCGTTGGATTGAAGCTGTTAGTCCGGCGACGTGGAAAACCGTTTTGGAGATAGCTGTCCAAAAAAAGACACGTGGACATAGCCCAGCGGGTGTTATGGTTGGCACGTGCTTCGAGGTTGAGAGATGTGGGCTGCGTCTCTGTCCGATCATATTTCGCGATTGTCGATACTACCCAAGATATCTATGTAACGAGAAATTTTTAAATGTTCCAGGTACACCACGTGTCTGGTGTACCATTCAATAAACATAGAATATGTGGAATTATTATCCAACCTACTGCATTTCTTCTTATAACATGTGGCGGACTGCATTGGACATATTCTATATGTCTTCCGTCTATTGGATGGTACACCAACCCCTTATGACATGTGGCGGACTGTATTGGACATATTCTATATGTCTTCCGTCTATTGGATGGTACACCAACCCCTTATGACATGTGGCGGACTGTATTGGACATATTCTATATGTCTTCCGTCTATTGGATGGTACACCAACCACGTGGTGTACCGGGAACACTCAAAAATTACTCGTATGTAAGGGTTGCGGTTGAAGATTTCTGACCGTTGATGTATCGATATGGATACATCTCCAATCCTGACTCTGATGATGAGATATATTAACGGTCAGAAACATGCGAAATATCATCAACGGTTAAAAATTGTCTACTCACTCGTGTGGACACTGAAATTAGCAAAATTTTACTTATTTTCATCACATTTTTTATATATATATATATTGAATATCGATAAATAATAAGTAATCCAAGGCATTGGATTATTAAAATTTAAAATGTCAAATGTATACATCATGAGATTAGATTGAGGTGTACACGGAAGCAAGAATGGTGTGTAACTAATTCAGACAAAGAGTGGTAACAGCTGCATGCATTGCATCTACAAGATGAGGAACTGTCTTAGGACCAAGACCCGCCATGTTAATCCTCCTGCACAGAAAGCCCATACTTTGAATAAATAAAGAAAGAAATAACACAAATTTACTCACGAGATTATGATGAAAAATCATCAAAATGAACAGAACATAGAAATTTGGAGAATCTAAAGTCTAACATCTCCTTTTTACATGATTTTACATAATAATCTTGTAAGCGAATGTGGTTTCTACGTGATTTTTCATCGCAACGAACAAAGTCATCAAAAAATCATGATGTTTGGTAATGGAGTATAGAAGAAAGTGAGTAGCAGTGGAAAGAGCTACAATCCAAAGTCTTTTGTGTTGTCTATGATAATTTCCCGGAAGAATCCTGCTTGGACTGACAGTATCAAGCCAAGGACCCTAATACGTACATAAATGCAAATACACACGCATTGGAGAAAAGAGCTAAGATAAGTCTTATGATTTTTTACCCATCAGATGGCATGTAGATATGGTACTCTTTTGTCATGAATGCAACTTGTTCAGGGTTCAATCCAGATAAAGTAAACATCCCCACATGTTTGGTTATGTGACTCCAGTCACCAGGAGTACCTGCCAAATAATAAAAGAGAAGTTGTCAAAAATTACTGGAAACAAAAGGCTATTTTTAGGTAAATGATCATGCTTGCCTTTATCACACAGTGCATTGAATAGGCGTCGGCGCATGCTAATAAGGCGGTCATTCATTGCCTTCACTTCAATACTCCATTCATTGTAAAAATCCCTGCAAACAAAGCATCAACAATCTTGAAAGACAAATTTAAGAAAGAAGTTTGTTCTACCATCAAGTTACCAGTAATCTCAAAAGCTTAATCGCATAGGAAAAGAGGACAATAGTCAAAACGAGTAGCCAAATGTGAAAAGAACTTATTGAACTTATAAAGATAAGTCATAGTTTCCTGATTCCGATGTTCTCAGTTAAACTGCATAAGAGCAGACACCAGAATGAGTTTGTATAATCCAATACCTGTCCTTTAGGATGGCAGCCGCGATGGCTGCCCCATGAATGGGAGGGTTAGAATACATGGGCCTGATCACAAGTTTCAGCTGGCTTTCAACATGGCTAGCCACTTCTGCTGTCTTGCAAACCTATTAAACAAAAAGCTATATAAATTTTCATTGCTAGAAATCCATTGATGTATATATGTACAGAAAATAGAAGAAACAATGAGCATAAATACATGCACTGGTACTAAAAAACAAGGTCTAAAAGTAAGCAGCAGTGGGTCTTTTGGTTATGTTTTTGTTTTTCAGGCATTTAACTGCTAGGAAAAATTGATGTCTTACAATACTGAGTGCACCAACACGTTCCCCATAAAGTCCCATAATCTTCGAATATGATTGGGCTATAAGGCATTCGCCCCCATCAGCAACAAACAGACGAATAGATTTGGCATCCTCATCCAGATTTCCACTGACAAAACCCTAGATAGAGCTCAGGAGATGAAGGTATCAAGATCAGGACACTTGCACCAAGTTCTCAGGTACAATCTCCCACAGGCTTAACACTAGGGGGATCCTGGAAAACTGCAAAGTTGAAACTGCAACAGTAACTTACCTGATAAGCAGAATCAAAGAAAGGTAACAACCCTTTTGATCTCATCAATTGTCTTATCTGCTCCCACTGTGGAATAGTTGGATCAACACCAGTAGGGTTATGAGCACATGCTTGGAGAAGCACGATAGCTCCGGATGGGGCTGATTGGAGATCTTCCAACATGCCTGTCATTCACCAAAAATAAATCACAAGATGTGATTAAAAGAACACTCGGTTAATCTCACACAACTCACAAGTGGAAAAGGGTAGGTAGACCATTAGAAGCAGAAGAATTGTTGATTTTAATCAAATATATTCACAATCATAATTTGTATAATCTTATTAATATCTGACAGAAAATAAATAGAGTGGACCATAAAAGGGAGGAATGAAAGGTAATGGACAACCAAAACATGATAAGACAAGAAGTAGCATTTCCAAACAGAAAAGTGAAAAACCTTGAAAGTCCAGTCCACATGTTCCGGGGTCATAGTAACGATAAGTTTTTATTGCTAGCCCTGCCGCAGAGAACAAATTTGGGTGGTTTCCATATGTTGGCTGGGACATGTACACTGTATGTTGCTGAACAAGGGACAAAATAAGGCCAAGTGACAGTCAGTTACGAGCACATAAAAATGCCAAATGTAAAGGACAAGGGCTTTACTTGGGGATAATGTTTCGCTAAAAACTCAGCTCCGACCCTCAATGAGCCAGAACCAGACAAGCATTGGACAGTGGTCACTCTATTCTCCTTAATTGCAGGGCTATTTCCAAGAAAAATGAAACATGCAATCAGCAAAAGAAACCCAAATTGTTCATAAAGAAAGATAAACTCCAATGACAACCAGGATCTTTATGATACAACACTGTTTCATGGATGAAAAGGCAATTACCTAGTCTCCACACAGTAATGTCAGCCAGATTATGCATCATATAGAGGGCTCCATGTTTTGCAATACTAATTAGCGTACTATCATAAGGATTATGCTCAGGCTCAAATACCTGTCAGCACCCAAAATGAGTCTAGCACTCCATCTGTTGAATTCTGCGATTCCGGTAATAGGAAGATACTCCTTAAAATTGGACCTAGAAAATCATCCAAAGTGGAGCATAACCACAACTTGAAGCAAAGTTACAAATGCAAGAACAATAATGAAACACCTTACATGTCATTAACTAGCAAGCGCTCCACTGTTCTAACCACATTCAAAAGAAAAGGCTTCCCATCCTGCTCTTACATAAGAATTTGAACAAGAATAAGAATTTGTTTTGGTGTTAACTGCTAAGGACATGCAATCCAATCCAAACCCATCTTTTCAAAACAGTAAATATATTTTCTACAATGCATGTGTTGAAGTGAAAAGATGAAAACCCACCTCTGTTCTATAAACACCAAAGCCCAAATTCAGCTTCAGGGGACTCGGATCTTTGCCATAAGCAACCTGCAACTGCTTGTTTCAAACCAAAAACAATCATTCTTACAAGTTATAACCAAACACAAAGAAATCAAAGTTTAAGAAAAATGTGGGAAATGCATTTCTTTACCGCATAAAGTGGTACTTCAGGAACCTTAGGAATGTGGGCAAATACAGAACCACCATCTCGGGACTCCATCTCCATGGACTCAGCTGAGATTGTCCGTACGATCAGTGAGGTGGTGGAGGAGCTGAAGCTCGAAGGGTTTGACGTTCGTTTGGAAAAGCTTTTGTTGGTTTTTCCAACAGTGAAAGTTTTAGTAGTTGTATCTTTTTCTACAGGTTTTTTTATGAAGAGTTGTATCTCGACTACATGAGAAGGTGGTCCCAAGTTTAGAAAAAACGACAATGTGTTTATATCAGATAATGTCCTTCCTATAAACGTTGTATTAAATCACATCTTTAAGGTGGTCCCAACTTTATTTTTGGGGAAGGAATTTTGCTACAGTCAGTCTTTGTTCTAATCGTTGATGTATTATCAATCGTTTGTCCTAATTGTTGATGTAATGTCCGTCCTAATCATTCATGTATTTTAACTCGGTATGCATTAACGGCCAAGAATTGTTTGTGTGGATAACTAATGGTGGGTGGCAGCTCATGTTGGTGAAGTGAATGATGGGAGTTGAGCTCGAGACTTTCACATCATAGGAGAATCATCTATGAGCTTACAAGAGCATCTCCAGGAGAGTCTTCAAATTTTAAACAAATTCTAGCGAAACTGCTTAAAAGGTATTTCCTCCAGCAATGTTCTTTATTTTGGTTAATCTAAAATATTTTATTATTATTTTCTCTTTCTCTTTCTCCCTCTTTCTCTTGCAAATCAAATACATTTATAAAAAATAAAAGTAGAAACCCAACCCCACCAACCTCTCAAATGTCTCTATCTTTCTCTCCCTCTTTCTCTCTCCTCCTCTCTATATGTAGAGAGTCAAAAGTTGGTTCTCCAAAATAGAGAGCCAAGTAGGGAGTCTGTTGGAGGAGGATTTTCCTTCTTTTTAGCTAAAGTAGCTAGGGATGAGAGGATAGAGAGTCTGTTGAAGATGCTCTAAGGTCATTGGCAGTTTGTTTTGAACTTTGAAGCCTTGTCATGATATATTAGGTGGCAGTCTCTAAGAGGCATATTTGCTCCAGCAAGTGTTTACAATATGCCTCTTAGAAACTGTTTTGGCCCGACAGAGTTTGAGCAAAACAGAAAGAGGAGAGAGTAGCAGACAGGCACATATAAATAAGGCACTTTTTTCTTTGGATTTGGGATGACTACCCTGTCAGCTCATGCAATCGTCAAATCTTCAGGACTTGGATCTGTTTGATTCTGGTTTTCAAATATCATTTCACTTCTGTAAAAGGACTAGGAAGTTTTTGGAACTAATGGAAAGACAGTAAAAGAAGATCAACACTAATTCTCAGAAGCCCAACACTTCAGAAATTGAGAGTGTAAATATATTTATATATGCTTTTGAAGTAAATATAGGGGAGAATTAGTATTTTTACAATTACAAATATTGGTCATTTTTTCTCTTATTTTTGTGTGTGGTTACATTGGCAGGAAAGAAACCCTGCGGTTTCGATCATGGGTGCCAAGCAGGGGGGGAAGGGGGAGGGTCACAACAACTGTGGTAACCCCGCTCGACATCATTTTTTCTCTCTTTGGTACTGCTTGCAAGTTGATTCTTTCAGCCTCACAAATTTCCCCATTCAACTCAATACAAAAAGGCAGGGGAACCCAACCCAAAATTCTATACACATGTTCTGACTTCTAACTAAGAGTGACTCTTCTATGAAATTGCATTCTGAAAAATCTGTTAACATACGACAAAAAGCTCTCTCTTGGGGAAGCTTCATAATTTCTGAAACCGTGTCTTGATACATCAAGTAGAGATTGGGTAGGTGCCGCCAGAAAAGAATATCTGAAGTTGGGTATTCCGGAATCGTTGCAGTGTGCTCTTGGCTCAGCCCCAATAACCCAGAGAATAGCTGCTAGAACAATAACTTTGATCTGCAGAAATGGCCACTACATGCATCAGTGTAATGAAATACCCAACTTCAAAACAGAAAGATAGAATCAGTACCTGTGGCACCAAAATGAGAATTGCAATCAGGCGGCACATGTTGACATGAAATATCAAGAAGTTCTTGAACTTGATGTGGTTCTCATCAATGAACTTTGCAAGTTGCTGTCACAAGAAGGCAATCCAGGAAAGACAAATCCCATATAAGAAAACACAGAAGCAGCTTCTTGAAAAAAAAGTGACTTCAAAATTAATGGTTACCAAGTTACAATTCCAGGAAAGCATACCATTTCCCAATTCATCTTATAGAAAATTGCGACAATCACGGAAACTTCAAGGCAGAGAAGGGAGAAGATGAAGATAATGTACTAAAACTGATCAAGGATAAACCAGATTGATGAATTTATGTAAAGATTTTACAAAAATAGATTGAAATGGCAAAGAGCATAGGCTCCTCAAAAAACACATTTATGGGTTATTGCTGAAAGGAGGTAAGAAGTTAAAAACAGATGAAAACTTTTTCCCAAACATTGAAACAAAGCTTAATTAGTGGTATGAATGCTGTTCATCTCCAAGCTCATCAGAAAGGATACGATGAAGAGAAGAGAACTGCTGGTACGGTTAGCAACGATATGACCGCAAAGTGTGCTTAAGCAGACAGCCATTCCCACACCTAAACATGCATATATAAACCTGTCAAAAAGAAGCAGTTAATGATTTCAATATGAACAAGATCAAAGAAAAACAAGGCAGCAGCCAAGAATTCTGCGCAGAACTTTTAAAAGATTAAAAAAAAAAGTTTCTAACTTTGGGTGCACTACCACCGAAACAAGAACAATATTAAATAAAAAAGAAATTACAGAAAAGGAAGATGAAATTTTATTTACCATGGCTTAGGTATATATGAAACAGAAGGCAGCTCAGAAACTCCAACTTGCCATTTCTTGATGAGCCAAAGAGAGTAGATAATCACTCCAACACCACAAAGATTGACAAATAAGTTCACTGCTCTCATTGAAGTGTGCAAGCAACACCTAGTGCAGCCTACCATTTCTCTATCAGTCAGCAGTATTATATGCGAACTTGGCCTCCATAATTTATTGCTAGCTAGATAAGTAAAGCCACTAATATCAATTTCCAAAATATCTTGCTCTCCCTTCAAGTTAAAACCATGTGGTTTGAAAACTCTGCTGGGTCAAGAAGAAAGGTGGTTGGTGAACTTGGCCGGAGGTTGTGCATGTGGGAGAGTGATCCACAGTGACCAGACAGAGAAAGTTAGAGGGGGGAAGATACATACCCAATTCAGATAGTGATCTGTCATGTCCAATTTCTGGAAAAAGAAAATAACACATTTACTTGGTCTATGATTTTGTGCTATTTGTATGTCTGTAATGTATGTGCATATAGAAGAGATGAGGGATCAATTTGAATGTTAGATTGAGAAGCGTGTGTGTGTGTGCGCGCGTACACCTAACATTCAAACTCCAACATTTGAGTAAGAGAAAGGCTTTGTGTTCATCTATGTCAACCAAATATGTCCCAATTTATTTGTTTAAGAATAGAATTACACATTTGATATTGGACCAAATCTTGGATGGTTTAATTTTTTTCATTTGGCTTGTTGGATACTTCCATTGGAAAAACATTCAATATTGATCCATTTTAGACGGTTCAAAGTGTGACTAAGATTGTATCCTAATGACTAGAAAATTTTCAAAGTCAACCTATTTGACTATTTATCTAAATAGAAAGATGGAAAATTCTTTACATTCTTAATACTATATATAAATAGATTTTCTCATATGCGGACATCCATATGTTATTAACGTGCAGACGTCATGTATTTTCTACTACGTTTTCCTGCTTTCCTTCCTTACAATGACATCGGCACAGTAATAACATTCGAACGTCCGAACGACCCCTCCATGCTTTCCTTCCTGTTTACAATGGCATTCGCACTGTAATAACGTCTGGACATACGCATAGAATAAGAATTATATATATATATATATATATTCAAATTGTATTCCTGAATTAGAGTAAACCAATAATTCTTTTCTTTTCTTTTTCTCCAAACGATAAATATAAATTGAAAGATTGGGAAAACCTCAAACACAAAGGACAAAGGTTTCTTGCCCTTGTCTTTCTCATTTTAAATAAGAAGGGAAAAGGTTTATTATATAAAATGGGAAAAGGAACCAACAAGAAGACAGCGCGCGGAACATTGACAAGGAAATTCGTCTACCCATTCATTTTATTAAAAGATACAACCAACCAACCAAGTTACCAACCATGGATTGGGTTAAAATTAATTTTGATGACCAATTCGCAATAATATGGCTACTACTGGTTTTATTGTTCGTGATTGAAATGGACATGTGTTGTTAGCAGGTGCTAACAATATTGATCAAGCTTCAATAATTGTTGCTGAATGTCTTATTTTGCGTGACAACCTTTGCCATGTCGTCCATTATGGTTGGCGTAAGGCTTTCATGAAAAGAGACTCTAAATTCGTTATCGACGGCGTCAACAAGGCGGTTTCTATTCCTTGGGGTATTATGATGTTAGTTCGTGTTGTGAAGAAGTTTCTTTTAATCATGTCTTTAAGGAAGCTAATTTTACTGATCATGTTGTAGCTGATTTAGGCCATGGCCCTTCTTCATCCCATTTGTGAGAGCGTGGACTGCCGTTGAATTGTTCGATTCCTTTTAATTTTAATTTGTTTGGGCTTGCGTGCCCTCGTGATTTCCCGTTGTAATTGTTTTTCTTTCTCTATTTTTTAAAAAAAAATTGCATCGTTATCACATTACTTATTATATGCATACATAAATATTTCTACCAAATTGTTTGTTTAAGATTAAAAAGCTGTTTACGTCCAACAATGAAAGAAGATAACATAACATCAAAGGCTTCAAACAATTGTAAAGAGACACCCAAGTGCGTATTTAAATTGAAATCATGTTTAAGATTGACAAACGACAGAGTAATACGTAATTACTGTCGTCAATGATATTGATTTCCAACAAATAAAGCACTTGCTTTCCTTTTTGCTATGGTCAATTACTCAATTATTGCGTGCCTAAACTCAGTTTTCCACAAGAAAATCAGATGAAACAAAAACTTAATCAATTACGTTGGCCTTTATCTTAAACAGATCATAGTCTTTCCTCCCACTCTCAATCAGATCACAACCCTTATCTTGAACAGATCACAGTGTTTCCTCCCACTCTCAATCAGATCACAACCCAACCAATTACTCGGTTAAACAGATCGAATAACGGAGTAGATTAAATTCGTATTTTCTTCTCAATGTTGAAAGAGATCTCAAATGAAGTTTAAAAATCCTAAAATGTTGGACTTGTCAATGGCACTCAAAGCCAACTCTGGACCATCCCATAATCGAAACCAACCCTATCAATTTACAGCCACCCTCATAATGCATTCTCAATCAATCAGATCAAAAATCATTGTACCAATTAAAAGCACAAAAACGAAAAACTTCAAAGCTCCAGCGAGAATAGAGCAGAGAAAATCACACAATCTGCAATTTAAATGGATATACTTTCCCTTGTTTTGGGGAAACACCCCACACCAAATTATGGTTCGGATTCGGATCAGCACTCTTAATTTTGTATGGAATTAAAGAGCACGTCTTCAAGAAAAACACTTGCATATTTCCATGCTAGCAACTTTGAGTAGATAAAAGCCACAACAGGTGAAAATTACATTGTGATTTTAAGAGCTAACCACATTCACTAATTCAAAGGGGCAGGTACATGAAGCAGAGTAATTAGAAAGAAAAAGAATCTCCAAACATCATTATATGAATCTAAATGAGCAAAAATTGCAGGAGAGAGCTAGTCTAAAAAGGGATGGATGACTCAATCCAGCTTTACCCTGTCCATATCATTGATAACCCCTTCAAGCTGCCATGAAAAAAGGAAAAGAATGATTACTTAAACATTTTCTTAATGTTGCTAAATCTGATGGAAAAGATGGATAACAAGGAATTGTGCATACCTTCACAATTTGCCGCAAGAAGTAATCCCCATATCGTTTTGCTGGTTTTGATTCGACAACATAAATCAAGTCCTGCAGCAGAATGAAAATATTATATCCAGCAACATGTAAATGTCTTCACTTACCATGTTCCAATATAGTGAACTAATCACATATAACTTCAAAGTTCTTGCATATTTAAGTTTTTTTTTTTTGGGAAAGGGAGACAATTGTCCAATAATTTTCATACAGACTGATGTGATGAGAACATAGGTAGATCCTCCAAGTGTAAGAGAAGGGAATTGTCAGAACTACTTAACCCATTTCACAAGCACTCACACTCACTTTCTTTCTTCTTTAGGGCATTGAAATACCTCCTGTAGGTCAAACTAGAGATAGAAAACATGGGTTCGCTCAATTTCTAAAACATATAATTAGGAATCTCATGTAAATCACATTGAAATCCAAAATATGGACTAGGAAACTGCTGTCCAAGATTAGCTGATGACTTAAGCTAACACTTTTTCTAGATTTTATGGGGCTGAAATTGATGATTCCTCGAGAAAAATCAAATGAAACAAGTGCCTAAGGAGTTCTAGTTTCTGACATCAGGTTTAATTTAGAGGATTTCCTACAAATATGCCCTTGGAACTTTGTGGCCTTACATAACTTTTCCATCAACAAGATAGAAGATAATAGAAGAAAACGTACATCATCAATATAGAAATCCACATCAGCATTGGAAATGATTTTTCCGTCAGTATCAACAGCATGTGTCTTGTGCTTGTATGTCAACAAGATAGTCCTGTAAGGCAGAATGAAAAAATAACATTATTATAAAATCAAAAGAAGAATTATATAAACATAACTTAAAGAATATCCTCATCAAGTACCTCAACTTGGATTCATCCACTTCCATGTAGCTTGCTAGCTTCGCAAGAGAGATGGATGAATATACTTTTAAGAAGGTCCGAATGCCTGATAATAACTGTTGCTGCTTCACTTCATAAAGGAACAGCTTCAATTGAAGTCTATAAGCATCCTGCAAGAAGTAAAATGGCATTTAATAAATTATGTGTGCATGTCCACACACTCATTCAGAGAGAGAGAAATATAACGCCCAAAAGAGAGAATCTAATGCAGCAACATATAGCCTCTAAAAGTAAGACTTCCATTTTTTCCCTTGCATAACTGTTGTCCAACCTTAAACCCCCATCCCAACTAAAGACAAGGTTTAATTTGCTGTCTGGTATGATCTACAAAGAAACTCCACTGTTGATGGCATTTTGGGTATTGCTTTTGGCATTTTCAGTAAGTGAATGTTTCAAACAGCTCAGGAACCGATAATGTGCATGTATCACGTCTATCGTCATCTCGTGTCAAATGCATGATACAATCCAGAACAGATTATTAAAATTATAAACTCCGGAGAAACTCCACCGTCTATGGCATTTTCAGTAAGTGTATGTTTCAGACAGCTCATGAACTGATACCATGCATATGTATTCTGTCTATCATTAACCCATGTAAAATGCATGATACAATCAAGAACTGATAATTAAATTATATGCATTATTCTTCTCATAACATATACACAAGGCACTAAATTAGTAATAATTTGAGCATCACATTATTCTGTCCTGGAAGCTGACTTCCACTACACCATTTCATATACTTGTTGCTTTCCGAATTGGAAATATTTCAGGCAATGGGTATTTCCGTTTGCCTTGTTGGCCCTACATACCTGGTTGTAATTAACAAGAGGCTCCTCAAAACTTGGAGGGGATGGGGTAATAAACTTAGGGCATGCATACGAGAAGAGTTCATCATAAATAGCAAATGCTTCATCATCGTATCTTTGCATCCTGATCATCTTTTCACCATACTTCTCACGCAACTGAGAGTTCACAGTTTCCTCAACAAGCTTCACCTGTGGACACAGTGAAAGAGAAATTGCCAACAGGGCATACATCTGCTCATTCTTCTTTAGTATCTGCTCATACTGTGGAGACTTCTGATGGTATTGCTTGGTTTTATAGATGTACAACAGAATCTTATTAAATTCACGAATTGCCTCCACGTACCTGCAAGGAAACTAATAATATTTGTAAGGCTCCAAAAACAAGTTTTCCACACAACACACAAACACGCATCAGAAAAGTGAATCAAAATGTTCTTAAATACGTAAAGAGCAATCGTACCTACGCAACATAAGATTAGCAAAACCATAATGATAAATGGTGGTAATGTGGCTTCCAATAACAGTTGTGTAAACACCTTGCTGGGTAATGTCAATGGGCTGCAAGCATTTCAGGCCAGTATGATAATCACCCAAGAGACAATGTACCCGAAGCAATCCCACCATGCTGAAATACCCCAACACCTTCAAAACATTACTCCCACCATTATAATCATACCCATCTGTAGCAGTAAACTGCTCAAGCCCTTCCTTCTCGTGCTCGAGAATCTGAATGATCATGGACTTCTCCACCAGAGCTTGCAAAAAGTTAAGCACACCATACACATTCCAGGCCTGTAACAAAAACAATGAGCACAATTCAGGGTCATCTTAGATATCAATGTTCCCCAAATTAGAAATGAATGTGACGATTCTTACTTGATCAAACTGTCTGAGAAGGGCAATCTCCTGCTCAGTCTTGTTCTTCATCTTAGCTCTGTACTGGCAAAAGCTCTGGAACTGGTACACGAACTCGTCGACCATGTCCCAGAGCCACTGGTTGGGCAGCTGCATATTAACGACGCCGTGGAGGACGACCTGGAAGAGGCTACAGTAATTGTCCCAAGAGTCGATTCTCTGCTTCAGCGTCGGTGACAGCCTGGCGTACAGGTGGCGGAACCACATCTCGCGGTAGAGGAGGCAGAAGACGTGGTCATTGTCGACGTAGTGGGCGACTGCGTCGACGGAGGGCCATGGCGTGTCCTTGAAGAGCCGATCGGAAAGCGTCTGAAACGACGTCTCGTACATCTGGTGGATCTCGTACACATTCTTCTCACGGATGTGGCGGTAGAGGTGGACGACGAAAGATTTGACGGAGTCCGGAACGAAGTTCGGGTCGTACCCTAGGTCTTGCGATGGAGGGGCACCGGACGACGCCTGGCGCTGTGTCGCTGACGTTTCGTCGTAGGTCCCTGGTGCATCTTCGTAGTCGTACGCGGCCATGGTTGGTTGTGGCTTAAGAAATTGAATGTCGTAGGTCCAGAGATGACGAGAGGGGATGTGCCGCTCAGCCACAGACACTACGCAGAGACGATGAAAGAAGAAGGGAGTGGTGAGTTAGGGTTTTACACTTTCTACTGGAACACAAAACTGACAAACAGATGTTGTAGGATTTGGATTGGGTTTGGTTTGGACGCATAAGTTGGATTGGGCCTTTTATTAGGGCCTGTCTTAAACGGCCTTTTTCTTCTGTTACAAAGGAGGCCGGAGAGGAAACTTCCAACTTTGGCCTCGGAGAAATTCTTCATTGTTATCGACACACTATCACTTAGTATTACCAATCCACTAATGTTATAACAAATGTGAGCATGCTTTTTATTTGGTGTGTAACGTCACTGAAGGGTATAATGTGATTTTACTACCAAAAATATTATGTAAGGATAGAAACTAACTTGCAATTGGGTGGCCATTCTTTCCTTCCCTATCTTCACCCGAGACTTTAGAGAATGGGTATCCACCCAGACCCAGTTGTAGGTAAGTTTTTCTAAGGAATAACGGTAAATACTTACAACCACTAAAGCTACAAGCTCCAACTTTCTTTCCTAGCATTACATGGTACATGATATGGCTCACCACCATGTTATTTCGTTGAAGAAAAAACGACATTGCATCATCACAAGTAAGCCTGTCGTACGGATTGAGAAGATAATTTGGTAAAAATGTTGACTTGTGTATCAATGATAAAAATCTTTGATTATGCCAGCACATCTAATTAGTAGATTTGGTCGACAGCCGAAGCCGTTCAACTACAGAGAAACCCAACCCAACCCAAGTTCCAACCATAGATGACAACGAGATTAAATTAGGGCAATTGAGTCTGGAACAGAAAGCTCGGCAAGAGACTTGCAAGTTGCAACAAATTCTCGATTTTCATTTTCACACACGGAAATTGAGAGAAAGAGAGACACTGGTTAGATATTCACAGGCAACCAAGATCACCAGAGAGGGTGTGTGCAACAGACATGTTACAAAATCGACATGAACCTAAGTCCCGAAATTAGCATTTCACTTTGTCATCACCAGAGCGATTTTAAAGCTGGCACCTTTGATATGCCAAAATTTGAATTTATACTACTCTATGCTCTCCTGAAGTTGTCAAAAATCTGCCGGAAGCTGTGTAGTTCTGAAAGGCTTCACTTAAACGCCAAACCGTTCGCCTGTTAGAATTGGAGTTACATGAGAAGGTTCCTAATAACTGTTTGGTTCATCTTCTTCATCGGACGATAGGAGCGACGATCCCATCCATGTCTTAAACCCTTCATTAACCCGCCTTTCCACCTCTGGTGTAACTTCCAAGGGATTCTCCAACATTTCAAGCCCTAGGTTTCGACCACCAAATTCTCCCTCATCAAGGATTGCAGCTGCTCTCCTTCTCAGAAAGAAGGCAGTTCCTCCGTACAGAAGAACCATCCCCCAACACCCACCCTCATAGCACCAGAACAGGGGCATAGAGCAGGAGCTTCCTTGTGTGAGGAGGCTTGAACCAAGAAACAATGCAAGAAGACCAAAAATGACAGCAAAGACAGCATTCAGAATAGATAGGCATCGAACCCCACCTGCATATTACAATATGAGAGTTCAGACATCACTTAGGTTCTCATGCAACACCAAACCTAGTCTTTTTGGCCAAATATTACGTCATATAAACAAATGGCAGACATAATTTCAATTTTTTTAGATGCTGGAAAATAATCCAATGAAAAACGGAACAGTAATAGTTGAAATTATATTGCAAAATGCACTTGTGAAGAACCATTTAAGATAGAGGGATAATTCCAACATGAAAATAAAACTTCAAACTATTCAAACTAAAATTAGTTTAGGACACATTAGTGGGCTTTGAGGTTAGGCAATTAAGTTATAGAGCAACATTAGTAAAAAGTTAACAGACAAAAAGGCATGCTGAATTTTGTAATATTAAAAGAAAAATGATATGATAAAAACGATGAACAATCTGTACCACAAGAAAAACAGCAACAGAACAGATGAACATCTGTATGCTCATTCTAGCCAGGAATCCCATAAGGAGTGTGAGAACTCTAAAGAGGGAATGCAAGCAATCATTTAGAGCTCTCTCTAATCGGCAAAAGAGAGCCTAGCCCAACCTGCCAAATAGCTGTAAGAATCCTAGTTTATTTTATTTAGCTGGACTTATTGGCAACTAAACAAAGTATGAACATTTTCTGCAGCACACCAAATTCTTTATACAGACAGCTTCATTATTTAGGAGTAAAAGCAAGATTCCAGAGAAATCATGACTTGTAACAAGTCCAGTCATACGTGATAAAACAATAGAAAATGGCGACTGATGTATAGTGGATACTGTAGTTCATTTGAGGAGGAGGGAAGGAGGGAGCATACCTCTTTTTGAAGCACAGTAGTTATTCTCAACTACCTTTAAGCATCCGTGTCTTGTTGGAGCAGAATAAGCAACAGCGATTCCTGCAACCAGATTGAAGCTATGAGAACTTGAAAACCATTTGGCATATCCAAATCAAATTATTGCCCCGCTAATGGTTAGATACAACCCATGTAGAATCAAGTGAAAATATCCCAATGAACAATGTCCCTTTAACCACATAATATGCCATGCATATCCAATTAATACTAATTTCTAAGCAGAACTCCATGCCTAGGCATGAAGCTGGTCACGAGGAGTGAATCAACCATTCCAGAACCATATATAGCCTTATTTCATTAGTGAGGTTTCAAATATTGACCCTCTCAGGGTGGGCTTTTGGCTTTGATGCATTTCTTGATTTTCCTTTTAAAGAAGCTCTAGTCATGCTACAGAATACTGAGAACCAAAGAAAAAATATATATTATAAATTTTTTTCAGTTATACACAGAGTTTGCAGGCATTTTCTAATTCATATACAAACTTGGTAGAGAAAATGAAAACCATGTGAACTGTGACTTGGCGTTACTAGTTACTAGTCATGTCTCTAATCCAAAACAGCCTATGCATTAAGCTTTCATGTTTTAAGATCGCATTTCAAACTTACATTTGCCAAGAGAAGATTTACCTTGTTTCTAGTTTCTAGGCAACAACATCCCAAGGACCCAAGATCATGGAGTTATTCTTATTTTTCCATTAAAGAGATTTAATTGTTCCTTTAGTGTCTTCTCCAACCCACCTAAGTCAGTTCCAGGCACATGCAGCCCTCTGTAAAAGATCATTGAGTTTTTTCCTCGAAGTACGGCATGGGTCAATTTTATACATGTCACCTAGTACTCATACGCCAGCTACAAGCATTCTTTCTACCCTTCTTATCACTTGGTGAGAGCAAGTTACGTCTTTGAACCATAACCATCTTGCATTCTCTACAGAGCTATCAACTTGAATATTATGAGCATAAATCTATTCCACCTTGCCAAAACTCTAATTTATAATTCAAAGATATTTAGACCATAGTTATCCGAGCAAGCAAATCCCCAGTTAGAAATGCCATCGCTACAGTAGTTTTAGTGATTTTACCAAGATTTCACTAGTATCCAAGAAATTCCTCAAGTCTTTCCTCTTGTTATCTCTAATCTCAGGCATTCTTTACTAGATCTTTGGCGAAATTTACGAAGTTTCCACTTTCCCAAAACCCAAATCAATGAAAGAAAACGCCAAAATGAAAAAATTAACTCCCTCTCTCTTAAATTTATTAGCGCCGAAATAAAATATTCAAATTGGAAACAATCAAAGTAGAACTTAAAGCTTCTCACCCGCAACAAGATACACGGAGGTAGCCAAGAAAATGATCATAGAGGGAACGAACACAACCATCCAATAGTAATCCACAATCTCTTGATCCGTAAGATAAAACGCTCCGGGAAACGGATCAGAATCGCCTCCTCTCACATTCATCGGTAGAGAATTAAGCCTCCGGTCGCCGCAGAACGGCCGCTTCGCTGGGTCCCCAGGAAACACAATGTTCAAGCTGATAACCGTGCACACAACAACTACCAAACAGACGAGAGCCATGGAAGCCACTAAAAGAGGTCTCTGAATCTTGCCCCAAGCTCTGTCTTCTACCCGGAGGCTCTCGTACTCGTGCTTGGGCATGAAGACCTGGCGAAGCGCGTCGCCGATTATCGCCATTTTGGAACCAAGGTTTGTGCTTGTTCAGTGTTCGTTTGAAGAAACCCTAGCTCAATCGGATTCAAAACGAACCGGCTCTTGACTTCTTGCACTGATGATGGATTGATTGATTGACCGACCGAGGAAACCCTAGCTTCTTCAATTGCCCCAAAATTGGGGCTCTTGATCCAAAGTTGGAAGTGTTGAAAATTCAAAAGGAATATGTAAACCGTAAAATTCTAAAGAAGTATTATGTATGGGAAGTTGGGTGTTGTTGCTTTCAGATATGATCAGCAGCAGCAACATTTTCCCGTTTTTTACGCATGTTTTGGGATTTGGCGGGTTTTGGTGTGTGGTGGCGCGTACACTTCCCAACCGCTTGATTTGCTGGAAAATTAGGTCCTCGCCGTTAAATAATAATAGAAATAGCATAAATCCATTAGAAGAAACAAGAACCTCATTGATATTTCTTGATTGTCGATACAAGACTTGGAATCACAAATTAAAATTATGTATTTTTCAATCGCTTTTTCTCAAAAAAATTATGTATTTTTCTTCTTACATTAAAATATAATTTTCACACTCTTATTTAATCAATCCCCTAAATTTTTACTTCAAATTAATATAAGAAAATAAACTTTCCAATTCGGTACACTTCAAGAAGAGAGCTCATATTTAGTGTGATGAGAATTTAGGTGAACCATATATGCTTTTGTATGTGTTACGTTTCAGTATTAATTTGTTCAACTAAAAGTTGGCATCAACATTAGCAAAAAAAAAAACATAAATTAATGCCACCTAGACGAGTTTTGAGTTTGAATGCTTAATAACAAATATGTGTCAATTAGGGTCAAATCAGACATTATCTTGTTGAATAGTAGGTTGTGACCGAATATTAATAGAGCAACCGAAAGTGTACTAACAAAGATGTTTGGCCTCCAATAAAAGTAAATTGTAGGTACTTTGAGTGGTACCCAAATTCCCAATCCACATCAAATGGATGTGGAAAAACAAAATGCTTCATACTTACAAATTTTATAATAATTAAATTTGTCCATATGCACAATCCTTATCTTATAAACAATTATTTTCATAAGGTATAAGGAAAATAAACATTTCAGTCATAGGTTCCCATTAAATATTTTTGGCATTTGGGATCAATAATGTACAATCAGTAATGCTATCTGAATCTTATTAAATCCATTTCTGGTCAATCAACTGTTTCCAAGTCATACACATTCAAAATTCATCCTCCAAGTACCCGAGTGTAGACTCCACGCGCCACCAGAAACCGTGGTGGTTGCATCCATTTTAATCCCATTATATTTTACCGAAGATGTCGAAGAACGATATATAAAAAAGTAATGTTAAAGGCGGGACCCACCCTATGATATACAGTCCGGTCAACCGCTGAAAGCTCTGAGCTTTGATCTCACTGCTTCTCTGAGCTCTCTCTCTGATCGCTTCGCTTCCATGGCTTCCCTCCTATCTCTCCCAAAACCCTTCTCGCAAAACCCACACTTTCCCACAAAACCAGCTGCCCATTCACATAGCTTGAACGTAATTCCACGAAATCATTCATTTTCGGGACGTGGGTTGCTTCATTTTCAACATGGGTCGTTCAGAGCCAGAGAGATGAGGGTCATCAGAAGCTCGAACCAAACCGAAGCTGTGCCTGGTAAGTTTAGCCTCCCTGTTCATCTTCCTCGTTAAATTTTTGGAAGAAAACAATTTTTTTTTTCTTTTCTGTTTTGTAAATTTTTTGTTTTTAATTTAGCTGCTAAGACTGACAAAGATAACATTTTTCTGCCAGATTATAGCATTCAAGTCTCTGATGTTCCACTGCTGACTTGCTCAGAGGTCATTTTCTCATCTTTGAAATGTCTTCTTATTTTAAGTTCTTTGCTTGCAGTGAAAGTTAGAAAAATACAGTAAAAAATTGATGAGTAATTGATGCCTAGGGTTGAGACTTGTTTGATTCACGACCAGGCTAGTTTAGAGATTGGTACTAAATAATATTCATATCCAAGAAGTTTTGTTTCTCCTGTTTTTCTTTCTAGAAAAGGCAATTGAAAGGCTAAAAACATACCGGGAAAATCAACACGGTAAGCAGCAATTTCTCGCCATGTACTCTAGCATTTTTGGAGGAATCACAACTGATCCAGCTGCTATGGTGATCCCCATTGATGACCACATGGTCCACAGAGGGCATGGTGTATTTGACACTGCTGCTATAAAAGATGGGTTAGTGATTTTGGCCTCGTGATGCCTGCATAAGTTTTGTTGAACACCAAATACTGATTTCGAACACTTTTATGATCTTAACACACACACATGGGCCTTTCACAGGTTTTATTTCTGCAATTTCAAGTTTCTCTGTATGTTCTGTACATCCTAGGTATCTGTACGAGTTGGACCAGCACCTGGACCGTATTTTACGGTCAGCATCCATGGCCAAAATTGACATACCATTTGATCGAGAAAGCATTAGGAGAATACTCATACAAACTGTGAGTGCTTCCAAGTGCAAAACAGGATCACTAAGGTACTGGCTCTCGGCGGGGCCTGGTGATTTTCAGTTATCTCCATCTGGCTGCCATCAGCCAGCTCTTTATGCTATTGTAATCCAAGATCTATCACCCTTTAATTCGAAGGGCATTAAAGTAGTTACTTCATCAATCCCAGTAAAACCCCCCCAATTTGCAACCATGAAGAGTGTGAATTATCTTCCAAATGTTCTTTCAAAGATGGAGGCTGAAGAACAAGATGCATTTGCAGCAATTTGGCTGGACGGTGATGGATTCATTGCTGAAGGGCCTAACATGAATGTGGCTTTTGTTACAAAAGAGAAGGAACTTGTGATGCCTCAGTTTGACAAAATCCTAAGTGGATGCACAGCTAGGAGAGTTTTGGTTCTTGCAGAAGGGCTGGTGAGGGATGGTAAGCTTCGGGGAGTAAGGGTAGAAAATGTGACTGTTGAGGAAGGGAAGAAGGCAGATGAGATGATGCTTATCGGCAGTGGAATTCTTGTTCGCCCTGTAGTGCAGTGGGATGAGCAGGTCATTGGTGATGGTAAGAACTTCTCTGCACTATGCTGTGCACTAATGCTTAGCAGGCACAAAGACATACAACATGCACGCATATAAGTACTTGATTGTTGCCAAATCTTTGCATATATTTTCTAGAATCATGTTGCTGTGCCTGTTCAGACTGTCTCTTAGATTTCTTTTGAAATGTTTCTTGAACTACTAGTTTCAAATGTATATTGCCTGTTCAAATGTTGCTTGTGAAACCTTTGGACTTGATTTACAAAAATATTTGCTTCTTTATTATAGGCAAAGAAGGCTCCTTGACTCAGATTCTCTTGAACCTTATAATTGAAGACATGAAATCCGGCCCTCCTGCTGTCCGAGCGCCTATTCCTTACTAAGCTGGCACAAGGCGACACTTTCAATTCTGTTGAAATTTCAAGTGCCGGAAATCTATCATTACCCAGTTGTGACATTCCTGCCCTGTGCACGCAGCTCTGTCGTCCGGTTGTACTTTGAGACTCATAAGTTTCTTGAATTCTCAACCTAGCTCCTTATCTCCATTGCTAAGGACTAGAAGAAGGCAATTCTACTATGATGTGTAGCTTCATTTTTATTTTTCTGTCATTTCAGTGGTGTTGTAAAGGCCGGTCAAAGTTTTCATTACTGTTAAGAAGCCAAAACTTCTCTTTATATATGCATTCTATATATGGAATGTTAATGGATTTTTCACTGTTAAAAGATTACATGTGCAAGTTTTCTCCTCCTGCAGCTTATGAACAATAACGAGTCGATGCAAGATTTTATAGCCGATAAAGCATCGAAAAGGTACGCATCTAAGGAAATTCATAGGAAATTTCAATTTCATCTAAACAAGTTGATCATTGAGGTAAAAATTATAGGGAAAACAAAACATGGTCTTATTCACGTTTGATATGTTATATTATTAGATTGTCAATATAAACTATATCAAATGAATTTTTGTCTGAATATATTTTTTTTGATGAAATAAGGTCAGCATAAAATAGTAGCTTTCAATTGTGCATATATTTTGTATTCCTAGCCCCCACTTGGAGACCATGGAAAGGAAATTGTTGAAATTCAATATGCCTTTTCAAACACACCAAAAAGAAAAGACAAATTAACGATTGCATGATACACTAACATGATTTGATCAAGGAACTTGAAACTACTGGTGATGGAAAATTAAAACAAAAAATTAAGGGGGGCAAATCCTAAGTTTATTTATAATTATTTTTTAAAACCTAGTGGAGCATCTGTTCTTAAATATATGCTGCATCCACCTAGTTGTTACCTAAGCCAGGGCTTAAGAAAAAGGGGATGCTTATTCTAAACCAATAATTGTCACGGGCAGAGAGCATAGCTTTTTATAGTGGGGTAGGTTCCAGTTGTTCCATTTTCTGTGGCTTTGTGTTTGGATTTTCTTCATCGTTTGCCGTTGTTTAGATATTGAGAACAATAAGATCAAAATGCTAAATAAAAAGGCAAAAAAAAAAGGGAGATTCACTATTATACCTAATATAGGAGCTCAAATTATAAAAAAAAAAATTCTATATAAAATGAACTTTAAAAACACACCCAAAGCCCATTTACAACATAAGAAAAAGGCTTTTATCTTTTTTTAAATTACAAAACTGCCATTGATTTCTTAAAACAAATCCAACCCCAAAACCTCATAAAAAGGCCCAAAACACCCAATAGGGCATCAAAATAATTTAATAATTAAAATTAAATTCAATAGGGCTAACTATCATTTTTTGGGTTTTTTCTGATTTGTTTATAGAAATTAAATGGTGTAGGGTTTATTTATAGTTTTAGTGCTAAGAATGGGTATATGACTAAATATTTCTAAAAAAATAGTGGTTTTTAAATTACAAAACTGCCATTGATTTCTTAAAACAAATCCAACCCCAAAACCTCATAAAAAGGCCCAAAACACCCAATAGGGCATCAAAATAATTTAATAATTAAAATCAAATTCAATAGGGCTAACTATCATTTTTTGGGTTTTTTCTGATTTGTTTATAGAAATTAAATGCTGTAGGGTTTATTTATAGTTTTAGTGCTAAGAATGGGTATATGACTAAATATTTCTAAAAAAATAGTGGACTTTACCATTTGTTGGTTTCAAACAAAAGTGATAATTTTAATGGATTTGGATTAATTTCACTCTTGAACTGCAGCCAAACTAACTAACCGTTGAGCAATGCAATTTGGTTTGGTTTGAGCTAAATTTAATGAGAGAAATCGAACCAAATCATGTTAGTTTGTGTGAGGATGTGAATAATTGTCTCACATTGGCCAATGGGGTCTACTGGAAAATAGCATTGACTTGTAGACATGTGGTCTTAAGTTCGAATCCTTATGACACTTTGGTAGTGTGCATGTGCAAAACTGTCCCTCCCTTTGGGATTATATATAGTTTAGACTATTGTTTGTATTAAAAGAGAAAAATCTCTCGCATTGGAATGTGAGGGGTTATAAAAAGTTGGGTTACTCTACAAATTGTCAATTGATTCTGAGATTTACCTAAAGTTCTAGTTAGTTTGAACTCAAATTATATCAACGAGTTCTCGTGACATAGAAATTCTGAATTTATATTTCGTAAATGACAATTATAAAATCAAATACATTTAAGCTCAAGTCAATGATTCATTCCATCCATCCAACTCGTCCTAACTACACCTCAACCTTAATCACTTTTTTATAATCAGATCATCTTTAGCCATCTTTTATATTTTAAGAATCAAATATAAAGTCCGCATAAAAATAAAATTTTTTTTTTTAAAAAAAAGAAGTCATTTATCAACAAAGTAAAAAATAATTGAATTATAAAGTCGGTGACCCCATGGATAACAGAAATTAAAAACAGTCAACCGTTGATGAACAAAGTAGCCCAAACAAACGGTCTAGGAGAAGTACACCTCTCTACGGTACGCGAGGCTCCGAACTTCCAATACGTGGCCCTACGTGATTGGTCCGTCAATTCTAATTCCATCCCCGGAAAACAAAATAAAGAAAAAGGGAAAAAAATCGGTTCCTCAACAGAAAAGAGGAAGCCAGCGATCTCGCACACAGAGAAGAGTTTTAGAGCGAGAGAGAAACAGAGCGAGACAGAGGGAGACAGTTCTAGAGAGAGAAAGCGAAACGCCGGAATATTCCGTCGTATCATTGGAGTTCTCTGCGATCTTGGCGGCAAAGAGTTCACGGTGAACGGAGGCGGGTCTGGTATTCGGATCGGGGCGACTTTCGGGTGAGCAGAAATGGTGAATTATATGGTGGAACGCGCTACGAGCGACATGCTCATCGGCCCTGATTGGGCCATGAACATCGAAATCTGTGACATGTGCAACCACGACCCTGTGTACGCGTCGCACTCGATTATAATCTCTCTTACTTGTTTATTTGATCACTGCCCCATTTGTTAGTTTTACTATCTTTTTGATGTGTTTGTGATTATGCCTCATCTATATGTATAATTTAAATCAAACTGGGAGTGAGGGATGGGGGTTGAATTTGATCGAACAGTTAATTTGTGTTTGGTAGCCTAGAATTGAAGGATAGAAACCCATAAAAAGTGAGAACAAACAAGAGAAAATAACAAAATTTGAATTCTACGATTTATTACAATTTGTTTTATAAGAATTGGATCTGGCTTCGAGCTTTGCGATTTGGTGGGTTCAATATGCTTGGCTTTGGATGTTTGGTTCTTTTGGGATTTGTTCAGCTGCAATGTTATGCAATTTGATGCATATTAATGGGGTTTTTGAGTGATAATAAGTGATTCGTATGTGTTAATGAGCTAAATGTTTTACAATTGGTCGTCGGATTAGTAATACTTGTCATTTTGTGTTTTTCTATTTTCATATTCGTATGGCTTAAGTGGTTGGTAGTAACCATGTGATATGATTTGCGTGGAAAAGTAAGCAAACCATTGAAGTAGAACAGCCCAAACAATAGAAGTAGAAAAACATGTGTTGATATGAGAATGTTTGACAATATAACGATTAACATAGTTATGTATTTGTAATGAGAATGTTTTTTCTTTGTCTTTTGTGCATTTCAAGCGTTGGTGCTCCAACTTCTAATTTTAGTTATTGTTACGGTCCACTGGATGCATGTCTACCTCTCAAGTGATTCTTTTTGTTCTAGATTACCTAGATTGAAACTCTCTGTATGGTTTTCACATATCAGGCAAGCAAAGGATGTTGTTAAAGGTATAAAGAAGCGCCTTGGAAGTAGGAATTCAAAAGTTCAACTTCTTGCACTTACAGTAAGCTCCACAGGACTTGTTTCAGTTTAATTAAATTACTTATCCATCCTTGTTGTTTCGCAGTACATAAAAACTTTCGTCCTTTCTTTAGCAGAAATTTTAGGTCAAATTTTGGTTCTGGGACTCCTATTGATTAGTGTTATTGTCTTTAAATCAGTCATATATTTATTATGCCCTGTAATATTAACAACTGTAGATGCTTACTTTTTTGGAGAATGATATGATATGAGTTTACTGGCTGAGTTGTGCTTGTGGTTCATTTAGCTTATAGGAAAACTGACTCAATGAGTGTATATATGTGTATCATTGAGTCTCGGAAGGGTCTTGTAATCTGTTATATCCGTACTTCGTTTCTTGTTGTATGCTTAGTGAACTTCTAATACAAGTGCGACTTTCATATGGAACAAATAGGGTGACATTTTTGTAAGCTGTGAACACAGTGAATTTACTTACTTAGTATGGACTTGGTCCCGATGTGAATCACTCTCACATGTTTATGCGTGATACTCAGTTTATAGAAGTGGAAAGAAATGAATGGCTTACATCCAACATTCTAGAAAGTTGGTGGATTCAAAAGTTAGATGCATAAAAGAACTAGTTGGCGTGTATACTGGAAATCTGACTGAGATTGTATGTTAAATTTCTGTCTGCAGTAGATGCCATTGATATAGTCACATCTTTTGTCATTTTTTTAACGACTTTGTATTACAGAGGTCTAAATTGGTTTTATTTTGGTCTGTTCGCTACATGCTAGCTGTTGGAAACAATAATAAAGAATTGTGGAGACATTGTTCATATGCATGTAGCAGAGAAAGACCTCCTCCATGAGATGGTAAAAATAGTAAAAAAGAAGGTATATATGTCCCTCAAATGATCTGATCACCTCTTAATGCTATACATTAATCACTTTTGTTGAAATTTTCTTATAGTATTTATGATGCAAATTGTAGCCGGACTATCATGTTAAAGAGAAGATACTGATCCTGATAGATACTTGGCAAGAAGCTTTTGGAGGGCCAAGAGCAAGATATCCACAATATTATGCTGCGTATCAGGAATTGTTGGTATGTTCATAAAGAAAATCTCTCTTCAAGCATCCCAATTAATAGAACAGCTTCATTGTTAGACCAAAATATGAGAAGCATTTATATAAACATAATCAGTATGGAATTTTTTATTTCCTTGATTATATTCTGTTGTAGTGCTTTTTTCTCCAACATTCTCTGAGTCTAATCATTTATTTTATTCAGCGTGCTGGAGCAGTATTCCCTCAAAGATCTGACTCAGCTGCGCCGCCTGTATTCACGCCACCCCAGACACAACCATTGACATCATTTCCTCAGAATTTGCAAAATCCAGATTTTCCAAAAGATGCAGCTGAGCCTTCTGCAGAAGCCGAGTTCCCAACCTTAAGGTGCATATGTAGCTGCTCTTTTGTTCTGGATTGAAGCATAAATTTTCTATTAGTAAAGCAGTTTAGCTGACTTTAGATGATACTTATTTCCTAGTGGGCTGATTAAAGTTGCAGACTGGGATTTTCCCATTCTACTCTGAATGTTCGTCTTAAGAAATGTAATAGTTGGAGGTTCCAAGGACAACAGTAGTCAAAATGAGAGTTAGCAGGAAACTGCTATTTTTCTTTATAATGTACAGATGGTTGAACTATTGCATAACATCTATTCTTTTCTCGTTTTTTAATTTAGAGTTTTTATTTTTATTTTATAGCTTGACAGAAATTCAGAATGCACGGGGTATTATGGATGTCTTGGCGGAAATGCTAAGTGCAATTGATCCTGGGAACAAAGAGGTATATCTCTCAATTTAGATGAAGAAAATACTATTACAATGTGATATTCATTAGTGATGAAATTTTAAATACTGAAGTAATAGTATGTGCCATTTTCTGTGTTGATTGATACATTTAGTTAATACAATGCTTAAAAAGGAAAAAACACTCTAAGTTCCTTTGGTGTCATAGAGAATGCCACTAAAATGCTATTTTACCTGTCAAAACCAATGTGAAGTACTTACTGAAATGGGAAAACAGGTGTATCAACATCTTATGACATTAGTTCCTCAAGATATGGATTCGGAAAGTTAAAGTATTGATAGGTCAAAATCGAACTAGTCTGTTGTTACCCGCGAGTGTATCATATCTATATAGGAAAGCCCTACTTAGCTGAATCTACTTGGATCTGTACTATGAGGAAATGCGGCATTGAGGAGGATGCTTGAATTATCATTGAAGAATTAGTAGGATTGAAGAGGTTTTGTAGATTTTCTGGAATTGGATGAAGACTTGAAATATTATTAGGGGAACATGCCTTGAGGCAAGAATAATTCATGCAGAGGAGGCGAGGCAGAAAACTGTGTAGCTCGTTTAGAACAGTTGACTAGAGATGTATTAAGTGGCATTATCAAAATTTTAAGCTCATATCAAGAAATGTACAAGGGTAGTTTGGTAGTTCATGCCCAAGGTTGTTCTGAGTGACTTGCTATAACTACACAAAAAGGGTCTGTTTTAGTTTGATAGGTTTAATAATCTGATAATAGAGATACTTTTAACGTTTAAATTTGTACGGTTCTAGATTTGAACCTCATTTTAGCATCTTTTGCAATTCTCAACTTAATCTCCATTTGCATGTTGCTCAAATTTATTTTTTTCAATCTGCAGGGGCTTAGGCAGGAGGTTATTGTTGATTTGGTTGAGCAGTGTCGTACATATAAGCAGAGAGTGGTACACCTTGTTAACTCGACTTCGTAAGGACACGAACTTCTTTCCCCACTAACCTTTCAGAAAATATATATGTAATATCCAATGGAAGTTGAATTCTAAAGACGAGTTATTTCACTTATTTCTTGTTGTTTTAAATTGAAAACTGCAACACAACATATAAGTTTCAAGCCAGCTTCCTAGATGACTGACCATTTATTCCCTTTAATGGACAATATCAATAGATGTATAGTTGGATAATTGATGACTGCGGGTAGTTGAAAGTTGGAAGGGACAAATACCACACTTACTGCATTCTGCATGGAATCCCATTCTCATTCTTGAGTCTTTTCAGAATAAATATAAAATATCCTTGAGCGGATGATATAGTTCTATCATCTACGAAACATTATGAGGATATGTTATATTGAGAAACAGAACATTATTCAGATATGTTATGCTGAGAACAGACAAGTTTAGGCATAATGCCCCAACCCAACTAAAAAAAAGGTAAAGGTTCTATGCAGGCAAAGACGAGGGTTGAACTTTAATAGGAGCCATATGAGATTAGCTTGCATGGTAGAGCTTAATGAAACATTGCGAGGATGGGTTCTGTGTTTGTTTTCTTTATTAATTAACCACCATGGTGAGTTTTGCCTATTTCTTTACTTATCAAAAGTTTATGTCAGGGATGAATCACTTTTGTGTCAAGGACTAGCGCTGAATGATGATTTGCAACGTCTTCTAGCCAAGCATGAAGCCATTGCTTCAGGAAATCCAGTTCAGCCAGATAAACCCAAGTCGGGACCTTCTGGAGCACTTGTAGATGTTGGTGGTCCTCTAGTTGACACTGGAAATGACAAAAAACAGCTAGATGGGAGGTAATTAGGGTTTTAAGCACATTCTGAACAGATTAGTAATGCCAATGACCATAGAACCTAGTAATCCAGCGTTTGTGTAACCATAGCAACTAGTAATGCCGGTAATTTTTTTGCAGATCTACCTCAAGTGCAGGTGCAGGGTCTAATCCACTTAATCAGTTATTGCTTACTGCACCTCCAGCTACTAATGGTCCAACTCCTACAACAAAGGTTGATCCCAAGATGGATCTTCTTAGCGGTGATGACTTTGGCTCACCAAAGGCAGATTCACTGGCTCTTGTTCCTGTGAGTGGTCAACAGCCAATCACTCCTGTATCTCAGCAGAATGCCCTTGCTCTCATGGACATGTTTGGCAGTGACAATGCTCCAAATTCTGTTAATGTAGCTAGCCAAATCAATCCTTCACCCCCCCAATTCCAACAGCAGCAGAATTTTCAAGCTTCACAAGGAGGTTTTTACTCAAATGGAAGTGCCCCAAACATGGGGGCCCCTCAGTATGAACAGTCACAGTACACACAAGGTGCTGGTCCTGCCTGGAATGGTCAGGTTGTGCAGTCGCAGCAGCCACCTTCACCAGGCTACGGTGCACTTTTCAATAAGCTTTTCAGTCTCGCATTGCATTTACATTCTTTTGCGTATAAGAAGATGCAATCATGGCATGACACATCACTGTGTTTTGATTTCTTTATCCGTTCTTTTGCCCTAGTCATTTTATTAGTCTTCTATTTAATTACAAGACTGAAGTGTAATCTTTCAATCTCTCCTGACTAGTGCAAGTGATGTGCTTGCTATTGGTGATTGCATTAACCATGAAGAATGTTTATGCGTTTTATGCTCTTAGAATATTGTAGCCTCTAACACTTCACATGGTTGGGCAGGTTCACCAACTAGTGGATCATTACCACCACCTCCCTGGGAAGCTCAGTCAACAGATGATGGTATCCCAGTCGCAGGTCCTCGATACCCTCAACCACCAGTGCAAGTTACTACCAAGGTGGTGGTCACACATGGGCAGGGTGGTTTCAATCCCCAGGGACCTCAACTGACAGGGAGTGACCAGGTAGTGGGTATGTACATCCAGCCAATTACGACCACCCATTTGTCAGCAATCAACAACCAGGTTGGTCCAAGCAGTCATTTGGGTTTGCCCGCTCAACCAGTCCAAGGGCCATATACGGGTATGACTCCGCAGGCTATTCAAGCAGGCCAGATGACATCTATGTATCCTCAACAAATGTATGGTAATCAAATGGTCCCCTATGGCTACGATCAGCAACAGCAGCAGCAGCAGCAGCAGCATCAAGCGTATGCCCTTCAGCAACAGCAACATCAACAAGCGTTTGCACTTCAGCAACAGCAACAGTATGCCCTTCAGCAGCAACAACAAGCATATGCCCTTCAGCAGCAAATGTATGGTCTTTCTGTTAGAGATGATAATGGTATGAAAAACTCGTACCAGGTTTCCGCTCCATCTTATGTTACGCCCAGCAAGCCATCCAGACCAGAGGACAAGCTATTTGGAGACCTTGTTGACTTTGCAAAACTCAAGCCAACTAAACCCACCTCTGGTGCAGCCGGTAGCATCTGAAGTTATTATTGGTTTCCTGTCTTTTCACTTTTCTTTATTTTGACCAACTTAATTTTTTTTTCTTTCTTTCTTCTCTTTTTTTCTTTCATCTTTGGTCTTTTCTCAATATATATAATTTTTTCCTTGAGCTGTTGGCTCCATATCTGGGTTTGTGCTTGTATGGCATTGGGATCATGTACATTCTTTGTAGAAAAAACCCGATAAAAATGGGAGACCTCCATGTGATTTAGATTGAATTTATGAGATTTGCTTTTACTTTTACTCTCCAACCATATTTCTCTTCGTTTTTGTGGACTTTCTTGACTTGCATTTTGTTCTTAGGTGGCCGTGAATTGTAGTTTCAAGACTCGTTTGTCATTTTTAGTTTTGTGCCGCGTTTTTATACCGCAATATTTTACCTACAAGTTGTTGCTTCTTTAGTTGTGATCATCGTATATTAATTAGAGCATCTCCAAGGGAGATGTCAAATACCAAACATCAAATTTAAATTTGATGGCTGATGTGGCAATTTGACATATTGTAAAACTCTTTATCCAACCGAGATGTCAAATATACATTTTATTTTATTATTTTTAAAGGCAAGAGGGCTCGGTATTTAAGAGTAAAATATTAAATAGGGTTGAAAACTGTACATGGAAGAGGAGAAAAGGAAGCGGGCCCGGCATTAAAATAATAAAAAAAAGTAAAAGACGTCTCATGTGGGCTGTCATTTTTGACAGCAAAAGTGAAGGACGTCAATCTAGCTAGGATTTGGCATCACGGTTGGAAGGCTTAAAATGTCTATTTTTGGGGTTAAAACTTGCCACGTTGGAATTGACATTTTGGTTGGAGATGCTCTTAGAAATTTTCAGGAGTGGGGGTGGGGTTGGTGATTGCTTGGGAATGGCGTCAGGATTAATTGGGTGGGCCTGGGGTTTTTTGGTTTTTGGTTTTATTTAACTTTTCTTAATTTCAGTTATTAAAACTTTAATGGAGGATAGAGTTGGAAAAAGAAAAAAAAAGATTAAGATTAATTAAAAAGTATTAAAAAGCAAAAATGAGTGTAAGTGGAGAAAATAGGAGTGGGAAAATCACCTCCCATTTTTTATACGAGCGATATTGGGAAGGGGAGAATCAAATCTAGAACATCGGATGTAGAAGTAAATGCTTTTACAGACTCCTTACTTTAGTTTCTTCACTTCACTCATCTAATCTTTAGAGATATATTATAAAATGGAAATATTTTTGCTACTCACCACTTTAATCAAAGATGTACCCTCACCACATTTCTCAACACTTGACACGTATCTCTTGGCATAACCATAGTTAACTCTTTACTTTGTATTTATGCAACCATGGTTATGTCAATAGGCAAGTGTCAAATGTTGAGAAGGGTGATGATGGTACACCTTGAATTAAAGTGGTGTGCAAAAATACTCCTATTATAAAATATAAGATATTCACTTTAAAACCATGATGCCAAATGAGGAGTGCCATCAATAACCAACATGGAGCAAGTAACAACCTTCTTTGTCAACCAACCGGCTCTTAGTCTAGTGTTATTTCTTCTTCCCAATATTAAAAGAAATCTCAAGTTTGATTCGTCTCCTGTCAAATAAGAAGTGAACAGTTCGGTTTGGTTTACAACGATTTATGGAGGACAAAATTGCAACCGAACTAAATAAGAACGGTTTAGTTCTGTTTTTCAGGACCACTTGACTTTTCTGATGTTGAAAACCGAACCGAGTCGCCCATTACAATTTCAATCGGCCGATTAGGCATCTCAGCAGGTTTGATACCCATGTCATGTGATTGTGAGAACAAAAAAAAGAGAAAAAAAACCAATTTGGTGACAAATAATGGGAAAGAAAACGTGGCGCCGCATGATTGGTGCGAATGTTCCCCTTCCATATGCTCTTTCCCGCACCATATAACAAATCCAATTCATACCCCCCTTGTAAAGAAATCGATAATCGATCTTCAATTCTCCTGATCAAGCGAAGTCGCTCTGCAATTTCTCATCCTTAAAGGTCAGCTTCTGCGATTTCAATCGGTTGTTTGAATAATACTGCCATGAATTTACGGAAAAATAGAAACTTTTGCTGTTTTGAATTTTATGCACCTGATATAATGACGGTTTAATCTCTGAATTTCGAAACTGTTTTCCTTGGCACACCTCAAGCAGTTCGTATTGATTCGGTTTTTCAGAGGTTTTGATTTGGATGCGTTGGTGAAAATGAACTTCCAATCAACTGAAATTGACATTCTGAGAGTGAAAGTTCATATTCACAAGTGCATTTGTTTGATTATTTGCTGTTGATTTTATGTGTGTAGAAAAGGTTCTGACTCTACTCAGATAGTGGGCTTTGCGGTGCAGTATTGTATTTAAGTTTCCAAGCAACAGCTAATATGCAGGTTAGCTACAATTTATTAGATTGCTTTTCTTTTTTTTGGTTTTTTTGGTTTTTTGGTTTTTTGGGGGTGCTTATCCAATTTCTGTTTAGCTTTAGAGCATATATGCATATGATGGTCCCAAGTTAACAACTTATTACTAGTTTAAAATAAAATACATTTAAAGTTTAATATGTGCAAGTGTGGTGAAACTCTCCCTTATGGCTGAAGATGACTTGGGATAGAGGGAGGACTATTGAAACATGAGGCAAAAGGGTACCAAGGTGAGAAATGGAGGGAGAATGGATGTGGGTGTGAGGAAAAGAAAACAGGGTTTGTGTTGTGAACTGTAGCTCTATAGATCTTAGAGATGGAATTTGGAGAGTAAGTAGACAGTGAAGCCTCCTGGAACGGTGTATGGTGAGGTTTAATGACTTGTATTGTGTTGCATTGCATAGTGAGGAATTGTAACGTATACCCCACTCTGAAGATGAAATCATGAAATACAAGCATTACTTTTAGAAAAGACTGATGCCATTTATGGCAGTGAACATTCTTTGAATGGTAACTTTAATGACTAGCTGGTATTTACATTATACAGTATCCTCAAATTGATATGATGCACATATATATATATATATATCTTAATCTCATGGTGAAACCATTTTGAAGAAGTAGATTTGTGCAGGCATCAAGGGCAAGGCTTTTCAAGGAATACAAAGAGGTGCAGCGAGAGAAAGTTGCTGATCCAGATATTCAATTAGTTTGTGATGACTCAAACATATTTAAATGGACTGCTCTCATCAAGGTAAGCTCAGTCATGAGCCAAACAAAACTTACTTGTCATGTTATATTATTTGACCATATTTGTCCAATTATGAGTGTAGGGACCATCAGAGACTCCATTTGAAGGCGGTGTATTCCAGCTTGCTTTCGCAGTTCCTGAGCAGTATCCTTTGCAACCTCCACAAGTCAGGTTTTTGACAAAAATTTTCCATCCAAATGTGCATTTCAAGGTATGAAGGCTATGTATGATAATGTCTAATCTGTCTGAATATGAACTGCTGCCTGAATTCCTTCTTTCAAAGATTTCATGAAGCACTGGAAATTTGAGGAGTCTGGTTGAAATTGTGAAATTAGAAAAGTTTTGTAGATTGGAGCTGAGTGACACCAATATTTAAGAGTAAAGGTTGTTTGTACTATCGTTTATTGAGTTGAGACTACCTGATCTCTTTCATACTCTTTCTTCCTAGGTAGAAGAGTTTCCAAAATTCATTTAAAACTTTTTTCTTGAAATTGATAATGAATAGTCTGTCAAAACATGCTAAAGATTTGATTCGGTCAATTGATATGTTGTACTGACCTCTGACAACTGATTGCATCACCAAATGAAAATTAGCATTGAAAGTTGAAACTATATGTTCACTCACTGTAGTCCTACAAATGTGTATCAAGTCTTACTTCATGTTTTTATATGTTGTTTTCTATTACAGACGGGAGAGATTTGCCTTGATATTTTGAAGAATGCATGGAGCCCTGCTTGGACACTCCAATCTGTTTGTAGGGCTATAATTGCTTTAATGGCACATCCGGAGCCTGATAGCCCACTGAACTGTGATTCAGGTTAGTTGGCAACTTGGCATGCATATTATGGATTTGGGCATTGACATTGAACATCTAAGTGCTAGAAGCTCAAATATGATTAAGCTAAGAAATATTCTCAAAACCACAAGCTATCCTTATTCTGAGGATGCTCAAGCCCTTAAAAGTCCAGCCAATCTTTTTCTGCTAAGCGGCCCACTTGAGTGGAGTGATACATTCAAATCACAGCGGTCCAGCATTAATTTTTACCTCTATCAAGCACCCCAACAACAGTTTCTTTTTGCCATCCCCAGTGGTTTGTGAGTTGTCTTTAGTAGTCACTTCTCAGGCCAGTGACTGGATTACCCCAAAGACAGTTTTGCCCTTATTGATGGATTTGTTTCATGGGAGATGAAATTCATGTGGAATCCCGATTGTATGTATTCTATGAAAATTTCTGTGACAAAAGCATATTTTCAAAACAAACCAATAGGTCTCATTCTTTCCTTTCACAAATTTGGATTAAACTCTGTGCTACTTTTGAGTTAATTTCCCAAATTCGGTCAGTTTTCTTCTCTTTGTTCTTTTTAGTTGAGGTACTGCAACTGTTATTCCTCATGGATTGGTTTTGCTTGTGCACAGGCAATCTTCTGCGGTCTGGCGATCTCAGGGGGTACTATTCCATGGCAAGAATGTACACTAAGCTTGCCGCCATGCCCAAGAAAGGCTGAACTGGTGTGCTGTAGTTTCTGTCTTCAGTTTTAGTGGGGGGGTTTTGTGCTAGCTTTGTTTGGGACGTCTTGGCTTTTATTCATGAATTTGCACATAATGTAAACCTTGACACATGTTATTTGGGGATATTTATACATCATAATTAATTGTGTAGACAAGTACATTTCTTTTAGAAAGCTGTTGTAATAATACGTACGACCATAGCTCCTCATTGGGCAAACCCATGCATATACAACACTAGGATTTTTCTTTTGATTTATTTAGTACCAATCAATACATGCATAAGCGAGTAAATAAAAACAACTCTTACATTTTCAGATGCAATGAGCGACACATAACTTTACAACTCTTATTATGGCTAATCGGTTCTAAAATCATATAAACACTTGGGAATTTGATCGCTCGAGAATCAACAGAATAGTAACAACCGTTGTGTCACGGCATGAGAAATTGGTCTAACCAGTAGCTGGCTTCTTTTACCATAAACGCAGTCATTTGGTGGCCGATGCCTGGCTCTGCTATCAACTGGATTTTAAGGCAATGAAAAACATAAAATCGATTTAATCTCCAAAAGAAAAACTGCCAGACATGCCAAAGAAACAAGTACGAGAGAAGATATAATAGTGATCATACTTTCCACATTCATGGGTTCCCCGATGGATAGATAACTTGTTTAAATAGAAGAATTCAGCCTGCTGAACCAGAGACATTAAATGCAATTTTATCATGGTGCTAGGCCAATACCTTAAAGTTATGCATACTCTGCGCATCTTCATAAGCCTTGCATGCTCTTGACTTGGGGATTTCCAGACCAGCAAGTGGACATCGAGGATCTTCCGCACCTATTATTTTTCGAAAAATTTGTACGATATTCCAATTAAACACGTTACATGATCACTAACAACCAACAAAACTGCAATCTTCACGATGATTCAATTGAAGAAAGTTTCAGGGGTCATGTATTGCCTCTAGATTTAAGAATATAATACTTCTCCGTATTAGAATTTGGACATGCCAATATGGAAATAAGTGGTATGTATAGGCACACACATGCATGCTATATGTGCATTATTGGTAGTTGAAGTGTAGAAAAGGATTTTATTTTTACCATTCACAATCAACAGAGGGCGTGGTGCAATAGCAGGAATTGTGTAAGGAGAATCAAACTTGGAGGCTAGACCAGGAGCAATCCTATCCCAGACCTGGTCAGATAAGTAACATTGTAAGATGCCATCCCTTCATATTTACAATCAATTACCCTTGTAATTTGGAAATAGTCATACAAAAGTATAAATCAGACTGACTATCTAGACAAATATCTGAAGAGTCAAGTATGTTACTAATAACCTTCTCCACAACTTCTTTGTCAATCGAAGTCTTCCCGAGATCAATTTGTGCTGCTGCAGTACAACCAAGAAAACGAAAGAATCAGAGAATTAAACACAACAAAACGGTCTCTAAAAGAAAAGTAGCACTAAGAGAAGGTCTTGTTTCAAATGAACAGAACAAAAGACAATTTCATTGTTTTATTTCCAATAACAGACATATGTGTACATAAAGGACTTTTGAATCCACTACTCTTTAATCATATGCAGAGTGAACATTAACAAAATGGAGTGGAAAAAAAAAAGCTACTATTGGAAAGGAACTTAGAGCGAAACTAATCATTGAAGTGGAACCAAAAGCACCTTGTTCTAATATGTAATTCACTTTTCTACTTATCTTACCCTCAAAGACAGGTTTTATACTGTCAACTCGAGCCTGCCACTTATCATTGTCTATGGCCCATCTAAACCCCTGCAATCATAGTTGCCTAGGATGTTAATTACAATCACACTGCGTAAAATTATAATTAATGAAATTAGACACACCACCTGAACACCAATAATAGGGACCACTACTGCATAGCGGGTATCAGCAGCAGCAGCAAACCATGCATGCATACCTGCATAACAAAATAACAAGATGAGCTCAGCAGGAAAGGTAATATATATTCAAGTTCCCTTCTTATAAAGTTTTGTCTCACAAACCTCCAAGTGATTCACCAGTGATTCCTATCCTACTATGGTCTACATCCTCCCTCTGTGTTGTTAGATAATCTGCCAATTTTATCAAGTCCCAGGTCTGCGATAACGGAATTTATGTTGTTATGAAACAAAATCATCAGATAAACAAAACCCACTGATCTCACTAACTACATTTCAACTTATCAATTCTCGTATTTTACAACAAGATAAGTAAAGTTACCGTATCAAATAAGAATGGCATTGTATCACCCTTTTCCCACGATGATATGAGAGCCTGCATGTGAATTAGATCCCCTGATCACTGTAAGCTTAAGAGTGTTTACTAACTTAAATAAAATCAGGACGCCAGACTCAATCTTTGATTGGTCCACATTGTCATGAGAAAACCATGTGAAACTCAGCACCAATACCCTAACTCACACTCTCAAAATAAGTACTTGTCTGATGCGTTATTTTGTCACAGTACTTTGGCCCTCACTTCTGTGACAGCACGTGCAATCAAATAGCATCTAGATTATGCTTTTAGCAACCCACATAGGCCAAAATTTAATACTTATTTCTTTGACATGACCAAAATTGCATGATTGAAGCAAAGTAAAGGTGTAAATATACACACATCTCGGTAAGTGGATATATTGCTGGCACGTTCACCATGGTAGCGAGAATCAATGGCAATTGCTACATATCCCCTTGAAGCATATGCCTGAAACAGAACCCAAAAAACAAAGCAAATAATGAAAATTCCTCTTTCTAACAAATTGTAGTCGAAAAAGACTGAACATTGGGGATTAGGTACCTCAAGCAATGGTCTTAACCACTCTTTGTTTTTGTTTGTACTATGCAGAAAAACAACAGCAGGCCTTTTCTGGGTATTGTTTTCCTTCATGCTTAAAATCCACACGGGTAACCGCCCTTGCTCTCCTTCCTATCATTGACCATATGAAGAACATTATGCGCATATCAAACTCCATATACATGTAGCTCAAAGCTCCAATTACCTCAGTAATTAAGTAAAGGTTTTCCTCATGTAGCTTATCCTTAAAATTGGGGATGTTGGCCTTGGGACAAGCGTTCATTGCCTGGTAATTTAGTAAATATAATAACCAACAACACAAATTCAATAACTGTGAATATCACAATCACAACTTTCAAGTTCCAACTTCCAACACATAACATTGTAGTCAGATTTGAACCTCACTGAAAGTTGGCGGAGAAGCCTCCTGAAACAATGGATGAGCCACTGGTTTTGCCGGTTCAACCGATAACGGAACTGAAAGAATTCAAACATCCATCGTCACCCACACAGTCATGTCAAGTATGCATAAACAAAAGAGTTCATTTTTTGCTCACCACCAATGGTTATGGTGCAGCACCATGCTGTCATGTCTTATATAAACCAACCATATGATGGGTAGCTTTTAAAAATTAATAATTACTCATAATAAGGAGACAGACAAAAGCAAAGACCTTATTATAGAAACCAACCACATATAACTTCTTTGTAATGGAATATTTTGGCACGCTGTACGCATCAGTGACTGTGTTACTCATGGATAACAACGTAGCTGCCATGGCTTCCCGCTTTGTGGAACGGTAGAAGAAGAAGACTACGGTTAGGGTAATTTTGGTTACTGCAGAAAATTGTATTATTATTTTTTAATGTTAAATTACTCTCTCTCTCCTCACTAAGATATAATTAATTATAATTAATTAATCTCTAATAGCTTAACTATGGTTAATTTACATAACACTTGGCAGCCTTAGAACGAAATGGTGATTCTACACTATAACAAGGGTGGTGAGCAGCACCAATGAGCTATACTGAAAGAAAGCAATTCAACCTTTTCCTCTGTTTTCCCAAACTTTCACAGTAACCAAACAGGAAAAGCAAGAAAGTTTCAGAAAGTTTCAAAATTCACTCACCTTCGCCCGATCGTCTGCTACGCAGGACTTTCAGGAACTCATCCCGAAGCTTCTGGACGTCGTCGAGAGCTTCCTCCATTGCTGGGCTCATTGCAGTCTCAGTGGAATCGGATACGCTTCTGGTCTGGGACGATGACCGGTATTTATAGGACAGTTTTGGCGCAGAGGTAGGTAGCGATCGTGGACAAGTGTGCGCCATAGTATGTGCCACGTGTGAGAGTACGGTTCTTGGCGAATTGGAGTTGCGGGATGTGAGGGTGAAGCTCATAGGTGGTTGATGAGCATTAAGGAGAGAGCGATGCATGATGATGATGCGTTTTCCACACAATGGCACGATAAAGTAATAAATACAAATTATGAGGGCCTTTTTGGATGGCGATGGTTTGATTATATTGGCACAGGGTGGGTTGTGCTTTTTCTTTACCACCTGTTTGGCGCCTGGGAAAATATGAGCAGATGAGGTTGGAGTGGTTTGCTTGCGTAAAAAGATTTTCTATTGTTGTTTAATTTTGGATAAACTTGTGCATGAGTTAGCCTCACATTAATTTTCGTTTAAGAATTAGGCTTGGGAAATATTTTATTGGATGATGATTTTGTTGGATAAGACTGAAACCTACTAGGGTTTTTTTTTTTTGGTCGGACAAAACATTTTTTTTTCCTTCAAATTACAGCGATTGGGAAGGGGGGCACTTTCCTTGGGATTCGAACGGGTGACCATTTAGGGAACGCGGTGAACACCTCATTTTTACTTAATTTTATTCAATTTTGATCTCATTTATTTATGGATATAGTTGATTGTATAAGGTATACAATGACCATTTGGAGCTTTGATTATAGGCTTTAACTTTTTAATCTTTGGCTGAGACTTAAAACAATCAAAGCGATTAATCAAACCGAGATTAGAATACTAAAGTTTAAGCTCTAAATGGCAATTTTATACCCTAAAACAAAGTAGAAATGAGATTTTCTCAACACCTTGTCGTGTTCAGAGAATAACTGGTGAAGCACATATTACATCCATTTGCTGAAATTTCCGAGCAACCAAACAGAACTTTTGTTATTCTATTCAAGGGGGTCATCTTTAAGGATTGGGTTCAGGTGTCTGTCTCATTGTGTTGTTCAATCATAATGGAAACAAATTTGTTTGAATCAAACTCAACCAAAAAAACGAAAGTAGTAGGAAGCAACATTCAGACATCGATCAGAAATTAAAAGACCAATGAAGGAAGATGCAAGGAAGCTCCACCAATACCATCTTGTATTGTAAGCTTGTGCTCTTGGCATGGGACTGCCTTCGCTTTTTCGAAGTGCGCTTTCATGGACTTTTTGGAAAAGTGCCTTCATGGACACGTTACAACAGAACACTATAAATTAAGCAAATTTTAAATTAACTGGAAAACATAAATATTTACTTTATCTTAGAGCAGCACATAATGCATAAGAAAATTCAAAACAAAAACTATTTCGAGAATTAATTTATGCTAGGACAAAAGGGGTCTAGCTCTTATTAGTTTCTCTCAATGATGTTTCTTAGGGAAAGAAGACCTAAGACCAACTGATGTGGCAGGAAATCATACCAAGATGCCTCAAATGAGGCATGGTGGTAAGCATTTTAACTACTTCTATCCTAAGTTACAACTCTCTCAATATTTGATTTTATTTCCCGGTACTATTTTTCAATAGGCAATCCGACCTTTAGAGACAGATCATTGTCACCAGAAGTGACCGTTGCTACCGGATGAAGCATCGTTACTGGCTGAAGCATTTTACCGTTTGCTGAAACAGGAGATTTTGCAACGCCGTTGCTGTATGCCTCTTTCTGGCACCTGGGTTCGGGGCTAGGTTTTGCAGTTCCACCCTGCACAGGTTCTTTTTGGCTTACCCTCTCTCTTTTGGCTTGGGGAGAACACATTGTTTCTGCAAAGTGAAAGACAAAGGACTCTTTCTTGTTAGGCTAACTGGATGGATGAATTGCACACAAAATCAATCAAGGTCGCAAAATAGATCCCCAGGATTCCCTATCACCATATCTAAAGTTTTGATAGCGCTAGAAAGACGGGTCACAATAAGTTTTGATATGGGGTCATTATAACATTTCAAATTGAAAATTATGGGGCTTAGCTGTGCAGAAATCTTACAAGGAAAAGAAGAAACAGATACAGACATTATGGGAAAATTCGATTCTGGATTTGATGTGGATGTGGGGAATTCAAAATAATGGAATCCCTTTCATATCATGACTAAAAATAAAGATTCATTTGAGAACTACAGTCCACTTATTATAGTAACAGATCATCCAAGTTATCACAATGCTTTCCATGTTTTCATACAAAAGTTTAATCAAACTGCCGACTGATCCCCCTTAGTGGGTGTTCTCATATGGAAAATTTTGTTATGTGGGCTGGAATCAAATTCTCAACAATATTCACAATGCAGACGGACATTTTGATTAGGATGAATCTTTTGTAATCAAGAACCACCCCCCCCCCCCTCAAACATTAGTTTTTGACAATTATGAGATTAGAACCGGAACTTGAAGAAGCTCACCTTTTATGCTCCCTCGAGTAATAAGATGGTTAAGGAAATCCCTGAACCCGGTCAGTACAAGCCTTTCCTGTTCCGCATAAACCTCTGTGCATCCTATTTCCTGAGTTGACTTCTGAGTCATGCTTGGACTACTACTTCCCACACCATTTGGCAATCCAGCTGCCATAAACATCTTATCTTGTTCATCACACATCAGGGCAAGTGTTCCAGGGGACATTGGCCTGCTATTTTGCACATCACCTCCATTTAATCCAGAATAGTTGCTCTCATCTCTATCTGCTTCGTTCACTCCTAAATGGTCATCATGCACAGAATTTTGAATATCATGTTCCTTTTTACCTTCTTTCCCCTCTTGAGTGGATAAATTGGTACTGGACTTATCAATTGTCTCTCTGTGCCTATTTCCTGTACATGTTAAATTAGCAAATTCAAAACCGAATCACATATTTAAAAGACAAAAATATCTAACTGCCACTCTAGCAACTCAAGTGGGAATTATTAACATGCTAAGATCAGTGAAAAAAGAGATCATTTAAATGCTTATACATATTGCTTTGGGTACCAGCTAAATGGTAAGTTTCCCTCCACAGGGAAATCAAAATGAAATCAGAAATCTATTAATTAATCTGAAAGAAATGGAAGTCCAAGGGGAAATGGCCCAATGAAAATACAAGAGAACAGAATATACTTGATTTGGGTCAATGACCATGAGTTACTTGCTAGACACTTTAAAAACAGCCTATTGTTATTTTCCTTTAAAAACTAAAGTAAGGCAGTTTTAGTTGAAAATAAACAAAATAGAGTTACATGCCTGAAATGAAATATAGCCGTTTCAGTCAACTAATTAGCTAAAAATTTGTCACTTGGCGACGACCCAATTGTAAATCCACATACTTCCGAAGCCTGTGGGGTTCTAGCTTAAAGTGTCCCTTAAAATGCCTTAAATACAGAAAAAGAGAGCTAAAATCTTAACAGTGAAATAAGGTGCAAACGTATCACGAAGAGAAAAGAGAAATTTAATTGACTTCTGTATATAACCAAAACCTGCAAGTGCCTCTGCAGCTGCTCCTGAAACTACAACCAGACGTGAGCACAAATCCTTTATGTTCTTTGATTGGATAATATCCGCCAATGGAGATCTTCAGTCATTAAACGCAAAGATTATTATATTTTGAAGGAAAAATAAAGAAAAAGTTTCAATATAACTATGTTAAGAAAATTAAGACACCTGTATGTGGATTTTGAAGATCTTGATACTGCTGCATTAGCAGTGCGACAAGTTGGAACAGATGACAGAGAAGACGAGGCCATAGGAGGTCTTAGATGATTTTCCTGTTTTAAGTCAATTAAATAATAAAGTTACTATGATGCCTGCTAGCTTGAGAAATAGAGGGACTGAAAATTCAAGGAAGAAAAAATAACGAACTGAATCCAAATTTAATCTTTAAGGAATTGTACTATTCAATAAAACTTTTTTTGTATAATAATGATCATAGCCTTCATGAGCTAGAAAAGAAAGTGTTTATGGCCATTCAAGTATTAAGGCAATACAGGAATCTTTTAAGCCTGACACAAACAATTTATCAAGATAGGCCTAACACACAAGTGCACATTCTATAGTCAAACCAGTTGAAAGTTTAAATTACATTTTGAGTAATTGAAGAAAAATGTACCTGTTGAGGTTGTTTAATTGGATGAGTTGTTTGATTTGTAGCACCAAAATAGAGTTCGTAGCTCTTTCTTTTTCTGGACACCAGAGGGGTCCCATAACCAGAGGATCCAATGGCCCCACTGATGGCTGCATTAGCCTGCTGCATGTAGGCCACGGTATTGTGGTCTTCATGATGGAGAGCTCTTCTTTCTTCACTTCCTTCAAAGTTCTTGCAGCCCATGCATTTACAATTTTCAGAGCATAGAATATTGGCCTGGAAGCACTCACAATATTTCTTGAGGCACCCTGATTTCCTGCAATGACATCCTTTATTGTGCTTTCCAGGTGCTTGAATTTCACCAGCATCTTCCTGAATTTTTTCTAAGAAATTATTAATGCACGCTGAGCTGAATTTCCAAATGCAATATGCTTAACCCAAAAACACTAATAAGTCTACTAAAAGATATTAAGTATATACAATGCTTGCACCTCCTTGTTCCTGCTTCTCTCTGTACTAGAATGAATTAAGTATAAGAACTTAGTAAATGCAAGGGCACAGATGAAGTTTTCAATGAATCAGATTACATACCCTACCATCACGAGATTCTTGTGGGCTGCTAGCAATCTTTGGTCTGAAAGCATTTGGATTACGTTCTAAAATTAATCCAACTGCCTCCTGCCTAGCAGCTTCATTGTCCACATTATTGTGACAATTCGAGCAGTTGCAGCCTTCACAATAAATTCCAGCTGCAAAGCACTCACAGTACCTACAAAATGATCAAATTTTGACTCTAGGTAGTAAAAAGAATGTGGGAGAAACAGAAGAGATGATGTGTCACATAATTAGTCATAATCTAAAATATTTACACAAATTAAGATACTAAAAAGACACTATCACTCGGATAAATATGCTGGTAGAAACGCTACATTAAATAATTACAATGAATTTCAAGGTTTTACTCCAAAACAGAGTTGACAAGATATGCAAAGGTGAGCAGAAGTGTTCAGGACGAAAAGTGTGAATATCTGTAACATTTCCTTCATTCTCCAGATGCGAAGTTAAGAAATCATACACAAGGAGTTGTCATGTATCTAAGTTCACATTCACAAGATCCCAAAAAAATCATAAATTGGAGCCCTCTGGTGCTAAAACTTATAAAGAGGAGGAAGTAAAGATGTCCTTACAACTTCAGGCACCGAGAGTTTTTACAATTACATTGCTTCTGCTTCTTAGGAGTGGCGTCTTTTCCATCGCCACGTTGCCGTGATATAGGAGACTCTTGTTTACTGAGGAGAAACACATGCATACAAAGGTCAAGAAGAACATAATACAACAGATATCATAATCTAGGGGCTTAAACACAGTTCTTCTCTCTGCAGGACGTCTGGACTGTCAATATGGTGTTGATAACGCAATAGAAAACATGTCAACAGCAAAATATATCGACGTGTTGTCAAAGATTATCAACGTAAATGCCGGACATTATTGATACAAAATCCGTCCCAGCTTGAACATAATTAGAAAAAGATAGACAAGCTTGGGCATTAAATCATACAGACCTAATAAGAACATCAAATAAAATGTCAAAAGTGTCACGTCTCTAAGATTAAGATAGTTGATTTTCACTCCTTTTTTCGGTTAAGTTATTAATGTGCATGAATAATACCAGTATATCTGAAAATTAGCATATTGGCTCATAAATGTAAAATACACACTCCCTAAGCAACCACATTTGCCATTCAAACACACCATACCTATTTAGTACAATTTTCCTACCACAACAATAACATAAAGCTTAGTTCAAAAGTTTAACTGAAATTGCATAAAAATTACCTCGTTTGCAATGTCGAGATCGAAAGCTTGTGCACCGGGTGCTGAATCCGAGCGTTCGCCGCCGGCGCGGGACTCGGCCTAGCCGGAAACTGTGGAATCGCTGGTGGCGGTGTTAGCTGTTTCGGTGACTGCGGTACCGGCGGCGGCAGTGGCGACTGTAACTGCAAATGCACGTGCGATTTTGCCGGTGAGTTTTGTGACAGCTGCGCCTGTGACGGTGACTGTAGCTGTAGCTGTAGCTGCACCTCCGGCAACGCCGCGTTCGCCGACGCTCGACACACCGTCGTGAAATCTAATTGCCTCGCCAATTTCTTCGGTGCGATTTGGGAGACCGTTTCGCTCTGCTCCATTAATCTCCAATAAATTCAAACGCAAACATGCACAATCAGCCTCGAAATCCACATTTAATTTCCGAAACAAATGCTCAAAATCGTGAAAAATAATTGCACTTTGCAATGTCGAGATCGAAAGCTTGTGCCCCGGGTGCTGAATCCGAGCGTTCGCCGCCGGCGCGGGACTCGGCCTAGCCGGAAACTGTGGAATCGCTGGTGGCGGTGTTAGCTGTTTCGGTGACTGCGGTACCGGCGGCGGCAGTGGCGACTGTAACTGCAAATGCACGTGCGATTTTGCCGGTGAGTTTTGTGACAGCTGCGCCTGTGACGGTGACTGTAGCTGTAGCTGTAGCTGCACCTCCGGCAACGCCGCGTTCGCCGACGCTCGACACACCGTCGTGAAATCTAATTGCCTCGCCAATTTCTTCGGTGCGATTTGGGAGACCGTTTCGCTCTGCTCCATTAATCTCCAATAAATTCAAACGCAAACATGCACAATCAGCCTCGAAATCCACATTTAATTTCCGAAACAAATGCTCAAAATCGTGAAAAATAATTGCACTTTGCATGCCATTGGTAACAACGAAACGATGCCGTTTCGGAGCTCAAGTCGTCATCGGAGACGGTTACGCACCGACGGTGATTTGGCGGCGGTTTCCATTACTAGAAATGCAACCATACTATTTTGAAAAATAAAATTAAAAAAATGGTGTAAAATTTGTTGAAATAGCTTAATTTAAAGCTACTGTAAATCTCGAATTGGATCAGAGAGCGGTAGAGACTGAACCGAATCGGAAGATTTGGGGAAGAAGATAGAGCAGCTCTCGCTTTTGGTTTTCTTTTTCTCTTTCTCTCCCTCTCGATGTTTTTTTGAAATTGAATTTCCTAAATAATGGAGGGCTAGATGATAGTGATTGGTGATCCAACGGTCTAGATTGAAATATTGGTCAAACGGTTGAGATTGGATAGAAGAATGAGGAGATGAAGACGGCCGTTGGATTCGGGAGGGCTTAGGTTTCATTCTGGGAAAGCGACACGAGTGGAATTTGGCGCTAATTAGAGTACAGAAAGAGTTGAGGGTCCGGTTGATGGGTACACGTGTACGGGTGACACTGGATCTGACTTGACCTAGGGGAAATTGGACGGCTGAAATTTGAAACGATAAAGGCAAAGAAAAGTACGCGTAAATTGATTTTGAATGAGGAATTCAGTTCCCGGCGGCTACAGAGGAACAGTGTCGTTTTCTACAAAATTTGATCTTTTCTTATTTTCCCCCGAAATTATATGAAAAAAAATACAAATTTGTTGTCACAAAAAACAAGGAAAATATAGCTCACTTCCTTTATCTGCATAGGCCCCAAAATTATAAAATTGTGAAAGTAAATGATTAAATGTAGAAAATAATAAATTAATTTATTAGTATGGTGTTTCATGAGATAAAAGATCACATATGTAAAATGTTTTTATTTTTATTTTTCTATGGATATGCATGAAGCGATAACTATTTTTTTTAGTACAAACGATAACATTATATTAGTATAGAGAAACACAAGATTAATGTTCTTTTATATAGTTTTGTTCATCCTCATAAGATCTTGTGTAAGTGAAGAAAGTAGGGAGAATAGTTATTAGTTATGTAATTACCCGTAATATAATGTATTTGGGCAAATATTCCTCATATTATAATATTTTAAAAGAAGTAGTACACCATGGCGCTACCGCTATGTATGTTTGCATGCTGATATTAGATCCTATGTTGATCCTATTGTGATTATGTTTTCATGCTGATATAAATTTATTTAAGTTATTGCGTAGAGGTATCGATCGATCTTCTAGCTATGTACATTTCGGGTTCTTGTAGGTATTTTGATTGTATCTCTAATTTTGTTCATAGCATTTTTTTAAAAAGATGTTATGAATTAGCGGGAGGTTTGCCACTGGGTGCATAGCTCAGTTAGCATTAGAAAGAACTTAAAAGAAAGAAGTAATAAGTTTTTTTTGTTTTCTTTCTGAAGTTGCAAAAGCGTCACAAAAGAAATAAGAAGTTTTAAAGACACTAAATATATGCTTTGATGAAAAACGGAAGATCGTTTTTTGATTTGATTTTTTATTTTGTTTGAAGAGGAAGTAGAAAATTTCATTGAACTATCAAATTACTAACTCGAATGAACAAACGTGAACTCATTTCTTTAAGCTGACATTTATAGATTGCAACAGTATATTTCTTGAAGAAATGACAAAACCAACCAAGTTATCAACGTCAGCTTAAAGAAAGATGGTTATTTGATAAAGTAAAAATAAGGAAAAGGAAAGAAAGAAGTAAAAATCAATCAATAAAAAGGGGGCATTTCCAATCCAAACCCCACCTTTTATCTGTATGCTATATATATTTAGATTGCCTTATCCGCCACCTCCGCCAGAGGTCCAATAATATCTCTCTACTTCTTCTACACCACCGACGGCTCTCCAATGAAACCATCACCAAAATAACTATACAAATTTCTCTACAACCCACAATGTCATTGTTCTCCCCTGTATAAATTAGATTTTTTTGTTTTTTTTATGAGGGATAATTATTCGAATAGATCAAGAATCATAAGCACTTCCACTTATGGTGTCATGATAAAGAGCAAGTACAAGGAAGGGTATGCACTATTGCCCTAATAATACTTTTTTAACTTTTCCACCCACTACTATGACAACTGAAGGACAATTACTAGGGGGCATTTTGCGGTGGAATGGGTTTCTTCAACCTAGGGGGCATTTTGCTCAGGTTGGGCTTTGCGGTGGAAGTGCTCTTAAAAGGGTCCCGATAACCATATTTAAGGATCTTAATTAGTTAATTAAAAGGTCCAATTAGGAAGAAAATAAAGTATTTCAGCTGGATTTTTCAATTAACCTGTCCAATCAATAAATTACGGGCATGGGACATGGTTAGCCAAACTTCAGGAACTAGTTTCTTTCTTGCTTATTTGAATGCATTAGATCAGAAGGTAAGAAGAGGTGGACATATACTGGACTACATATAGGTTTTGTTTTTATAAAAAAAAAAAAAAATACAAAACGATATTGAAAGAGGGAATGGAAGCCAATCATGATATTATATGTTGGAAGTCAAATTTAATAGATGTGTGTTTGGAGGGGCCGCATGCATGCTTCATGCATGGTATCATGTACAGCTGATGATGATCATTCGAAAATCCATATAGGTAAAGATCCATCCATATATATTTGTCACTTTCATGTACAAATGGTAAATGATAATATTAATTAGCGTGCAGGAGGAAGCGAAAAATAATGTACCTGTGGCTGTGGTGTGTGGGGTTAAAGTGAAGGACAATGTATATTAGGGGAAAGCAGGTCAGACACTCTATGCAACATTATTGTCCAGAAACTAATTCAATTCCAGTTCAAATTATTTATCTGCTACTTTTCTGGGTTATGCAACATTATAGCATGTAGGTCTCAACCTACATGTTATATATATAGACTTTTAGACGTTATTACCGTGTAGACGTCATGTATTTTTTTTTTACTACTTCCTGTTTTGTTCTTTATTTACAATGTGTCTACACCATAATAACATTCAGAAGTCCGCATAGGAGAAGAACAGTATATGTATACCAGTCCCACTCACCTAATGTCCTAAAAATGAGGTCCTATAAGGTATTCTTTATATAATAGCCCTTAGATTAATCTAACAACACTCATAATCAATAATTTTATCCCTCCCTAATCATACTATTTGTCTTACTCAAACACCCCTTTATTTTGTATTATTATTATTATTATTTTCAAAAAGGAGAAGGGATACACGCTTCTTCATCTTCCAGTTTCACTACGTCTTCTTTCTTCTCTGCACGACCTTTTCTTGATTATGTATCTCTATCTCGCTTTCTTCTTCGCATCTACTACTCAATCTTCTTTGTCTTTTGGTGCGTTTAATTGAGGACTTTTTCTATGTTGCACGTAATTTGCGAATTAATCTTGTCTAACTCAAACGACCTCATCTTCATCTGCGAATTGTAATTATAATTGACACTCTGGTACAATAAGTTGCTTATTTTCTGCAATCACTTTTCAGACAGTCAAAATAAGAAGTGACTTAATTGGCACCAAAAAGATGCTCTCATGCTTGAAAGCACGATGCAGGCACTGTTGTTGTAAGCTAATTGCAATTCGCCTACTAGAATTGACTAATACATATCTTAATTGAACGTTGTCATTTCTCTCTCTCCCTCTCTCTTTCAGAAAAAGGTGCTAAAAAATTTGATACAGTCAGGCTGGCTCTATGTTGCTCATCAAATACTTTCTAAAATATATCTTTGACCCTCATTATATTTCTTTTTGGAAAGGATAAAATATTATTTCTTTTAAAACATATAAAGAAAAAAGAAGGCCAACCATAGCAAAGCCAGTAAAGGAGAAGAAAGCTGGTCAACCCACACTGAGAGAAATCAGACCCAACCCAACAGAACAGTGGGATGATCTGACCACTGATCACTATTAACAATCATCACCGATCCATACAAATCTCAACGAGACACAAGAAATCTCCCATTAACGGACAGACAAATCTCCAAAACCTTGAATTTTGGAGAAAATCAATTAGGATAATATTATTATTAGTGGTGGGTCAAGGATCGAGAAGAAAATTATCTGCTGCAAACGAAGTAACAGTTAAAATTTTTGGGTTAGAATTGAATTGACCCATTTCCTAATTGATTTCCAATATCTAGAAAACATATACAAGCTGCAATTGGCCAACAACTTGATCTGTGGTGGACTGTATCCAAAGAAAAGAAAGTTGCAGTCCTTTTTCATGAATCATCTTTTCTCATGGGCGGCCATAAATTACTTTAACCAGTCCAGACGTACTTTCGTAGAAATAAATTTATAAATATTTGCAGTCTTTTTTGGTCTCTAGCTAGCTACGTAGTTGGATTGCAGATCAAACCCTCTCCCAATATGGATCAATTAGAAATTTGATGAAAGCAGGCAGACAGGGTCCTTGGTTCGTGGAAGCACTTTCTTAATTACTTAATTACTTAATTTATTTTTCTCTAATGGGTCTTCTTAGATATATATATATATATATATATATATATATATGCGTGTATATGCATCATCATGACAAGGAAACTTGGAGAGGGCCCGATCTCCATAATAAGGGGTGGGGTGGTATATGTATCTGTCAGCCTTCAGATTTACACAATTTCTAAAAATTTGTGCCAATGAGTTTAAATTTTGAGATTGTGTACCGTATATATTTGAATTATATTCATCTCATGTATTCATGCTCACCCCCAAAAGTACTCTCATATAGCTAGTTTTCTTTTCATAATTATAATTTAATTATAATAAACTGGGTTATATATGTTGCTTTTCTTTTCTTCATACGAATTAGTAATGGTAATTTTTTTAGGTCGACAATGAAATTGATGCAGGCCTTGCAGCTAGTTAGGTGTGTGACCATTCGATTGGTAGTGATTGAAGTGTAAATATACAATCTAATTTGGTATATATATATATATATAGAGAGCGCGCACATAAAGTTAGATTAACCAAATTCATAATATGTAAGTCGATTTACAAAATATTATTTTTTTAGTACAAGCAATTAGGGAGAGGAATTTACACAAATATTTATTGGGTGTGAGAATTTCGAACCTCTGCCCATATATTTGAAGATGAACTCAACCATACCCCACTGACATATATATTAATATTGTTTGATTTAAACCTAGCTTTAACTATCATGTGCTAGCATAATCGACTAATTATAGCTTTTACGTTTTGGTTACCTTTAGTAAAACCAAGTACCAGAGACTTCAACTTTAATTTTTTTTATTTTAAAGTTGTATGAATTTTCTTTGTTTTTTCCTGGTCCTTGGGGGTAAATCCATACATTCAAGCCCAACATAAACCCAAAATCTTCAATTCCCAATCTTATAATTTTAATTATAATTTATTATGTCCCAATTGTCAACCTTCTTTCATCGGGGGGACCTTTTGTTAACCTTGTTTTAATTAATTAATTACAGAGTTACGTGGACGTTTAGTATTTTATATGCCATGCATAATATAAGATATATATATATTTACGTACATTTGGCATATTGCTTTTGTTAGGTTTAAATGAACATGCTACAAATATGTAAGCGAAGCATTGGAATTTTGGCTTCGTACGTCATGAGGAATTTTGGCTCCATTTTCTCCCTCCATTTTGTATAACGAATCATATCGCTTTTCACTTTAATCTGCATGAAACCAAGGCCAACCCAACAAACGCCCAGTTTGGGCTGTCGCTCCCATTGAAGTTTTTCTTTAAAAATACATTTTTTAAAAATAAAAAAAATGATCCCCTGTAAAGAGAAGCACTTCATTATATATAGTACATGAACAATAAAATAGTATCTATTATTTTAGACTTTTGTAATATCATCACAAACCTTTCTCTTTGTATAAAATTTTTTACATTACTTCTCTCATATAGCATAAGAAGCAAAAATGAGTTTGATTCCATATGTTGAGCGTGTGTTTTTGTTTGTTTGAATTATATATATGGTTATTATAAAATTTTGAACTTGATAATTACTTCCGTTTAAGTTCGTGCAACAAAAGTAAAACTTTGGGTCCGCCCACAATATGAAACTTGTATCATGAAGAGCTAGCGAAGCCCCACGATGGTAAATTGCTAGGTTTGACCACTATATGAAATATGTACAATTCGCAGCTAAGCGAAGCCCCATAAAGTAAATTATAAATTTTCTCACTACATAAAACATGTATTTCATGCGTAGTCTAGAAAGGTAAAATTTGCACCCGTCCGTTGTTTAAAATATGTATACCATGTACAACTATTGAAGACCTACAAAGGTAGATTCGCCCGTTGTATGAAACTTGTATACTTACCAATGATGCTTGCAAAGGTAAAATTGCGTCTCTCCACTATATGAAACATGTACCATGTGTATTCAATGAAAACCGTTGTTTGGGGGTTAAAGTTATTAAGTTGCACATAATTGAAATGATAATTACATTAATTCGTCTAGACAAGACATTTAATTAGCGTGATCTCAAATATTACCACATGATTCACATTTAGAGTATCTCATTTATGTCGCATTCTATAGCACCAGAAAAATTTAAAACCTAACACATTTTTCCTCCATCTCAGATTTCCCATTTTTACTTTTCACTTCTTTTTTTTCTTGAAATGAAATGTGCTATATAGCTAGGGTTAGATACCTTGATTACCCACAAGAAAAACCTAGGGTTTCATATTCACCCCACTCGCACTCTCCAAACACCATCTTGAACCACACGCACCAATCAAAACCTACTAATGTGCAAAGGCATCTTTGGCCCTACTTGACACGACAGGTATAAATAAACTATCTTCCTCCCAGCCAAACAGAGCGTGCAAACAACGCGTGGGGAACAGTCGCCTCTTTTATTTTTTAACCTACGCTAGGGTTTCCTTTTGCCCTTTGTAATGGATTGTGATAAGAGCCGCACATCGTCGCCACGTGGAGGATATCTGTTGGGCCAGCAGCATTTCCAGCAGTAATTTATTGCGCGTATGTATGCGTTTGGACATGACATGTCATATGTATGCGATGTTTTTTTAGTACATCAAAAAACCTCCTCTCTCTACATTCGACGACAAAAGAAAGATTAAAACTCTCTCTCCTCATTTTCTCTCACACACACTCTCTCTCTCTACAATTCGAAACCTCCTTTTCTCTCTCTAGGGTTTTATGATTTTTCGCACTCAAATTCTACTCTTGTAGCTTCGAATCTCGACTGGCAGCTCGGCCTCGGATCCTCGCGCTCCGGCGCTCTCTCTCCCGGTACAGTTTTCTCAACCAGCCGTGGAGAATCGGAGCTAAGCTGTACCCGAGCTCGTACGGCGTCGTTTTTGGGTGATTGTGGATTGCGTTGAGGTCGGTTTTTCTGCTCTATTTACTCTCCGTTTAATTGGGTTTGTGATGGGGATGATTGGGTTGGTGTTAATTGGCATAAAGTTTGAAGCTTTCAGCTGAGTTTCAGCTGCGTATTAATTTATTTAAAAATATTTGAGCTGGGTTTACTGTGTATAGTACGTCAAGGTTGGGGCTTTACTTTGTATTTCAGTATCTGGGTTTTGTTTAAAACATTTCTGTACCGTTTTGGGTCATATTTATGTCGTTTTACAGTGCTGTGTATTGAGTTGATTGTTTAGTGACTGTGAATTTATATGTTATGAAAATATGAACCCTAAAAGTTTTTCCTTTTCTGGGTTCGTGTGCATGTTCTTATTTTCGGATTCGGAGTCTCCGAGGGCGAGTTTGAAATGCGTTTGTGGGATTGTTGCATATCTTGGAATATGATCGCTACTTTCTTCTTGTGAGATCCTATATATGGAAACAAAACCCTAACATGTGCTTTTGTCTTATTGTTCCTATTTTGTGATTTTGTTGGTATCTTTGCTGGGTGAGTTCAGCTGTGTGAATACTTTTATTGTTTGTAATATATCCAATTAGCCGCCGCAGACTTCTTTGTTTTGTTTGAAAAGCTAGGGTTTTTAATTTTATGATCCTTTGAGTTCTTATACACTTTGTACATCTAGTGGAGGTTGTTATTTTATGTGCAATGTTACTGTATGAGGCGATGTTTTACCTTGTCATGTATTTGTATGATAATTTTTGCAGTGGATAATTTGTTGCGCATGAGATATCTTGGTGGTTGAGAATAAACCCTAATTAATACTATTGTTTGGGACTAGGATCAGTATTTACTCGCATGGTATGTAGGGCTTAGGCGCTTTCTTCATATTTTCCTCGGGTTTTCCTTCTCGCATGGTGCATTGTTTGCATTATTATTGAGCATATGATAATGATATTACTCAATTAATTGTTCATTTGTGAATATAGGAAATACTATAAAAGAACACTGTGAGCTGCTTAGATGCTATAACATGGAGAGAGGTCTTCTGATGGCTGATAATCATAAGAGGAGTAACCCTATTATTGCCTCCAAGTCCAAGTCGGTGGGATCTTTTGTTAAAATTGACTCAATATCTATAGATCTCGCTGATGCAAATGTCAAGAGTAGTAGTAGTCATGCGGCAAAGTGTGAGCACTTCTCCATACGGTAAGCCTTTCCTTTTGAGAAATCATCATTACATCTGAATGTGTATATGTGCTGTTACTCACTTGTTCATAATAAATTACTAGGGATTTCAAGCTAATGATATTAACTAATTTATATTTCTTCATATTCACTATCTCAAGCTCTATTTGAATATTAGCTAATTTGGCTTACTTTTCCCCCGTTTGAAAAATACTGTATTAAGCTATTTTGCTGCAGTATTACAGATAGAGAAGTCTATTCTCTTTACTTTTTAGTTCACTGAAATACAACACTAAGTTGGGATTGAACTCTTTGGTCCAATAATGGTTTTCATGAGGACCCAATTACGATATACTAGCTAGTATATATCTTGCTAATTTTACAAGATTGTATCTGAAGGGACACAAGTACTTAAACAATGGGGAAGACATATACGCTTATTTGAGGGATACCCTTGTAGGGCCCACTATCTATTGTATTTCACTAATTAATCCAAACCGTTTATTTTGTAGATACTCATTCAAAGATCATCTCTACAAAAAATCACTTGAATCCGATATCATTTGACCACTCAATTGAATTATTGAAATTTTAGTACTTTCTTGAAGCACCGTGTTCATTGATTTTATAGGATACAATTGGATATCGAAACAGTTTCCGATTTGTGTAATTTTTTGCAAGGATGATCTATGAATGTAGACTTAAAGAATAGATGGTTTTGATCGTTGAAAAATTATTTGTAGGGGACCCTAAAGGGTGTTCCTTAAATAAAATTATTTGAGGGATCCCTCAATAGAAGGGGACCGTGTGTATATATATATATATATATGTTGAGTATTAAATTTTCAAGATATGCAGTAAATACTTGATTACTTCAACAGCACCCATGCATGGAGCTTTTGTTTGATTGAAACTTCTCTTATATGTTTCTAATTGCAGCGGTTATGTATCTGAAATTCGCAAAAAGAACTGGAAGGTATGTTGGCCATTTGATTCAGATGGTGATTTCAACAAGTTTGATCAGCTGGAGGATACATCCGTGCTTCCTCCTTTGAAGACTCCAAATTTCAGATTCTGGTCTTGCCAGAATTGCGTGCAGGAAACTGGTTCTAAGAGCATTCCAGAAGATCATGGTACAGACATTTATTGTTGCAATATTGGATCTGATTCCAATAAGACTTGTGCTCAGGTGAGCAGTAGTGTTTCTGTACTTTTGACAGATTGTCAGCAAGGTCCACAGTCAAAAGTTGTTGAGGGAAAAAGAGTTGAAGCTCCTACTTCTACTGTTGGGTGTGGCAACGAGCAACATCCTTCATCATGTTCTACTGATAAGAAAGAAGGGAAGGATGAAGTTCCACCCACTACCATCATAGGTAAATTAAGTTCAAGTCGCTTAAACTAAACAGAAAGTTGGCTATATTATAGTATTTTGAATTGCTTTTTGTGTTTCATCCAGCGAATGAGAATGCCTTAGAAGATTCTGTGAGTCACGAAATGCCTAGACTAAATTCTGTTGAGACAGAAGTTAACCCAAAAAGGACGCAGGAGAGACATAAAGATGACACAGGTTTTCTTTCCTTATTTTTTTGTTATTAAAAAAAGTATTCGGGTGAATTTTTTTCCTGTGATTTCCACATGTAATTTAATTTGAAAAGAACAATAAAGCTACATGACAAATTACCTTCTATGATTTTTCACAATGATAATGCCTATGATTTCCAAAACAGAAGCTCTAAGATTGGAGGGCAATGGATCTGTCGAAGCCTGTAAACCAGGATGTGAAAGTCATGAAGATACCAATGTTGAGCTTGATATCACAAACAAAAATTTCTGGAACAAGAATCACATCCAGACCAGTGAAGCTAAGTATCAAACTTCTGCAGAAGACAATCACAAGGAGTCAATGAATGCTTTTGGGACATGTAAGAGAGCCGGGATGGTTGACAAGGCAGATAATGCTACCAAGCTTCAGACCGACGCTTGTCATCCTCTAGTATTAGATGAGTGTGATTATGCATCATCTGAGAATTTTGATAAGTCAAGTGGTTTGAGTCGTAAGAAAAGTCGGAAGGTGCGTCTGCTGAGTGAGTTGGTGAATAAGGGGGATGCAAAAACTGATTGCATCAGGATAGAAGATTCTCCATCCAACACAATTAGTAATATATCTGGAGCAGGAATTGTTTCCCAAGGCCAGGTGTCTGTCCAAGAAAATGCTAGAGTGGGTTTGAGTGATAATAAGAGAAGGAAGTTTCCAGAGGAGGAGGAACAGGGATGCCTAGAGATGAGCCATCCTAAAAGTTTGAATAAAAAGCTTAAGGCTTTCAGGCGAGATGAGGAATCCACCAATGCCATTGCAGAATCTGTATTAGAAGAAGATGCAGTTGCCAGAACATCTTTGCAGGCTGATGAGAAGAGCAACTGGAATAGACATGAAAATGAAAGAATCCCTGCTGTTGGTAAGAAGAAAATTAAGAAATGCAATGATTTCGGCACATGTTCGTCCTTAGTCCCACCTGAAGATAATGTGCCAATAGAAGCCGTGGACAAAGTTGGAAATTCAAGCAAGGGTAATGCTACTAATAGTGTTTCTTTTACTCTAACGTATGATGCATCCACAGGTAGGGGGATCGATCAAATTCCTTGTCCTGCTTCGGAAGCAGAGGGAAAATCTGGTATCTGTAAGAGGAAAGGCAAGATACCTAAAGTTGATAATGGCCAGGCTTCTCTATCTCCTTGGAATGGCATGTTCAGGAAAAGTCCAAAGACAAGGGAAGATGTAGAAATCATGCAAATTGGGCATCCATTTCATCTGGCAGAAGATGCATCCGCTGAAAAAGGGCTGGATCTTTCTCTTAACAGCTATTTGGCTGCAGAAAGATGTGGCAAGAAATCTATTCCCCAATCTGAAGATGGATTTCCTTCTTTGTCCACTTGGAAAGATGGAAGCTGCAAATTAGATGTGTTTATGAGGAAAAATGTGGAAGCTAACTATGCTGCAAATCTTAAACCTTCTAAATCTATTTCAAATGCATTTTCTGGGAAAGGAGGACATGGTGAACTTAGTAGTAAATTTTACACTTATACCATGCCTATCTTGAATGAGGAGAAAAACTACACCTCCCAGATTGAACAAGGGAGTTGTTCTTTGCAGCAAATGGTAAGAGCTTTTCTCTTCTTACGGTTGTTGGGATGAATGTTTTCATTATGATAGCTTCAGCAATGTATGCTTCTTCTGTTTCTAAGGTTTACCATATGTAACTATGCCATTATAAAATTGTTGTGTTATCCTCAGTCACTTATCTGTATCAAATAATCACTCCCACAATTATTACCGTACAAGAAACTAGTCCATAGAAATTTTTTATTTAAACTCTGTTGATTGGTGATGTTATGTCTTAAATAATATTTTCTTCCTATCTGAGCCTGTAGCTGCCTAATTGAAGCATGTTTAGAATTCTCCTTTGTATCTGATGATATGCCAACGGTAGCCCATAGAATCATATTGCACATTTCTCATCTTTGTGGTAAATTTTTGAACATTAATATGCACAACTATCTTCTCTATCTAGTTTTCTTTTGCAATTTGTTTCTATGATGATTCATTTTCCCTTCTCAGGATATTTCCCGTTCAAGAAACAAGGAGAAAATTGTTGGGGTTCAGAAAAGTTCAGCTGTGCCTGTTAATAGGAAACATAGCAACCATAAATCTGACAAGATGTCTCAGCAGGCAGCTGTGGATGACATACCGATGGAAATCGTTGAACTCATGGCGAAAAATCAGTATGAGAGATGTCTTCATGATGCTGAACATAATAAGAATATTTTAGAAAACACCAATAAAGCAAGGAAAGCTCAGATGATGGATCATAGTTATGGGATTGGGGACTTGAGAATATCAGAAGAAACCAGTCAGAAACGAAAGCCTCAGGCAAGAAATGCAAAAAATGGCATAACCACAAGGAAAATTTCAGGACCTGCCAAACAGAAGTCAGTTGATTATTCTACTTATATGAACGGAAAAGATTTTGGTGTGAGCCGTCTTGATCAAATGCATTGCCCTACAGGGTTTAGTGCACTCAGTCAGGCGCAAAAGAAGTCAACTCGAGACCAATTTCCTGCAGCTGGTTACAGCAGCTGTAGTTGTGCTCAAAATTGCAAATGGAATGGGGATATGATGGGCCCTGGGTTCTCACATTCTAGCTTGCGGACGTTAGCAACATCTAACACATGCCAGTCTATTCCACACCCAAAGGAAGAAGCAGCTCGTCTTTGGTCATCTGGAATGCCAGTTCACTTGCCCTTAACGTACAGCAATCCTCAAAAGTGTCCAGCTCAGCCTTCTAATGTCGATATGCTTTTACGTCCTCCTGGCTCACTGCATAAGGGAAACGTAAATGGGGATTATGACCTGAATTTGTTTAATCTAAAATCTACCAACCGGGAAAAGCATACTGAAGAAGTTGGTTCTGGGAGCTTCAGCAGATCAAATGCAGAGTACTCATTCTCTTGCAAACGTCATGGATCTGAGCCTCATCAAAATGCAATGGGGTCATTTGATCTATATTCTAATGAAACTATACCAGCAATGCATTTGCTCAGCCTCATGGATGCAGGTATGAGGTCAGGTGCGCACTTCAACATGGGTGGAAACCCGAAATTTCTCAAGAGACCCTTTCCTAATGATCTCTACTCTAAGGAGTATTCTGCGCCGGACATCGGTGGTTATAAGGCTACTGATACTGTGAAGCTTCCATCATCAAATTGTTGTGGCACAAATCACCATTCTGAGAAATCCCTTGATCTATTTCCTATGAATCCTGGCGGGGCATCTACTTCTTCATTTCAACATTCTAAAGGTTTCAGAAAGGCTACAGAATTTATGGGTCAAGGTTCCTTGAGTTGTCAAAAGAAAGAAAAGATACAAAACTCCAATGCACCTGCACAGAATAGAGGTCCTGGATCCCGAAAAGCTGCATGTCCAGGTGGTGGTTTGGGCAAAAACTGTGGAACTATCCCTGTTATGCAGAAAGGATTTCTAACGGTGTCTGATACTATGATGTTTCCCCAGAACTTCCACACCATTGAATATCCAATGCTAAAAAAATTGGAAGCTAACAATGGTAATGGGGCCATGAACCCTCCGAAGAGCAGTTCCATGTCTTTAATGTGCTCAATTAATAGAAACCCTGCAGATTTTAGCCTGCCAGAAGCAGGAAACGAGTACATGATCAGGGGTGAAGACCTGAGAGTTAGGAAGCGGATTAATCAAAGTGGGGACCGGAACAAGCGACGGAGGAACAGGAAGCAGACACCTTGAGTTTGATGAGGTTCGTGATATCTATACTGATAGTACTTTAATTATAACCTCGTAATATCTGAACTGTTTTCAACAAACCATCCTCTTGACTTAGCTGCTGCTTTTAAGTTGTTGCATATATTATTTACAAATTCATCCAGTGGGGTTAATTTATTCAATTTTGACAGGCGAAGATCTCCCCAGCTGGTGCAAAAATAAGGTTCTTGGAGGATCTAAGAGCTAGTCATATTTTGGTGCAAGCTAAGCTGATATTAGTAAGAGACTCCGAAGCTCTGACTCCTCCGAAATATAATCTTGCTGGGTGAAGGTCAAGGCCTGTATATACCTATGTCTTGACCTGCTGCAGGTGTACTTTGCTTGTTATCTTTTTCTTTTTCAATATTTTGAAATATATTGTTGTTTGTTCATGTCATAAGAACAAGGTTATATTACAACCTCAAGATGGCCTTTTAGTTTTCAAAGGCTTAGCCTACAGTTAGCATGGTATTTTGGATCGATGTGTGTGTAGTTTGAGCATTGAGAAATCCAGAGGGGTAACTGATGAACTTTTTTCATGGATATAAACTTCAAAACTTGTAATTTAATACAGTGCCAAAACACATGTGAAAGAAGACATTTGGTTTCACTGTTATGTGAGTGAATTGAGATTGAGATTGAGATTGAGATTGAGATTGAGATTTGGCCTCATATATATCAAGCAGACACAGATGAGCATATCCTAGTTTCTAATTGCAATAGTTCAATATTCTAGCATTATTTTCTGTAAAGATTTTTTATAATTGCTCAGATGGGATATGTAGTTTCTTTTTTTAAGTTTATACTGGTAATTTTGCATAGTTTTCCGACACACAAAACAGAGACATCAATCGTTATCACCCATGGCCAAGCAAGAATGTAGCAACATCTGTTATCAAAGCCAAAAGGCAAGAGAAAAGCAACATCTGTTATCAAAACCATCATTCATACAGGACTATCTTATTTTGAGTTGAGAAATGCTAACGGAACTTGCTCAGAAGAGAGTTTGTATTTGGATTTGCTGCCACCTCATGTTTATTATATAAAGTGGGTCGAGTTTAACATTAATTCTTAAACCGAACTCATAAGATAATAGCAAGTCCACGTATATACTCTCTTTTGAGCAAGTCCGTGGGCATCGTGCATCTAAATTATAACCTGGTCCTCTAGGAGGAGTATATTGCAAGGTGGAGTGAGTGATTATAAAATGTATGATGCAAGAGAGCATTGGAAAAAGTGGTTGAACCCAATTATGAATTAATTAATCAGAATATATTATACAACACTTGATGTTATTAGACTTACTTATTAATGCATTATTAGAGATCGAGTTGCTTGAACGTAGGGTAACGAGTAAAACCCTAGCTACTTCCAAAACATATACAACTTTAGATCTTGCCGGGTCTATTTATATGCGAGTGAAGTTCAATGTGGCAGGGACGATAATATACTATTAGGACTCGAACCCAAGACCTTGTCTGAGAAAACGATTGCCCCGAACCTCTACACTAGTGAGTACTTTGCGAATTTATGTTTTATTTAGATAGTCACATTTAATCTTCTTTTCCTTTGTTGTTGAGCACAAACAAACCAAATGCCCCCCTCTCAAAAGAGTACTGCAAAAACAAGCTTTTACCCCAATTAGATATACAGACAACATAATTCTAAAAAGGGTTGTTTAAGTATCTTCAAAGCATGTTTATTGCAAAAATTAGAAACCATATTTATATACATTGATACATCCAAAGTTTTTCACCCAAAAAATAAAAAAAATTAATTGGTCATATTCTGATCCAAAGACAATGCTGCTGAGCTCCTATCTGGTTTATCAAGCAGATTTTAACCTCCTTGGTAATCTTCCATGCAGAACTCAACTGCTCTTTCAATCAGTCTTAATCATATACTACCAGCTAAGATAATAAGACTTATTAGTAATAATTAAGTTACTAATTAAACAACCAAAGTTTGATTAAAATGGTCATGTTCTACATCAAATAGTGAAAATCATGAGAAAAATGAGGGCCTAAGCAAAGGCAGACATATATATCGAGGAACGCCACGACATGCAAACATCGAGATGTTGACTGATCAATGGCGTCAACAGTTCCCTTTTGGATCCTCTTGCTGTTGTCGTATATCCATGTCTTTGTTGGTTAAATCCCATTTTAAATCAACAATGTTGTAGAGAAAAAAATTATTATTTTTAACACAAACGATAGTCTAAATTATAAAAGGGAGAGGGGTTTCTCACACACACAATACAAGGTGTCATAGAGTTTCGAATCTAAGACTACTAATCTGCAAATCAAGACTCTCTTTCATTAAACTAGACGATTATTTAACATTACTTACGTATACCAACCCATTCATTGTAGATAGATAATATGATCATTTACTAAATTGATTTGGAAAATTCCAAATTAAAAGTATATCCAACAATTACAGTTGGACAAAATACCAAATCATATAGAACAAGCTAAAGAATAACCATAATTGATTCTCAAAATAAACAAAATCAAAACAATAATTAATTTACAAAATCAAAACCACTGAAACTTTTAATTATTCAAAATGGCCAATGATGTTTTACTACAATAATTAATTCATCGAATCATAAATCATTCTTATCACTACCTGATCCCACAGAGAATGGTGATGGTGATGATGATGAGTACCTGCAAACTCTAGCCTCCTTATAAACAAGGCCAGGTTTACAGAAATACCCTTTTCCAGGGCTGCAATGCCTGTCCTCGGAGCAAATGCATTGGCCCTCCAGAGCACACCCATCACTCTTCACACCCTCTTTCCCAAATACAACCTCATCAGACCACTCACTTGAGAACAAATTCTGAGGGTCCAATTGTCTTTTCACAGCTACAAATTTATTAAAATTAGGATATTTTTTCTGCACATCCAAAAAGGCTAAGTTCCTGTTCTTAGCCCAATGTGGCTTAGCCCCATACTTGAAGAAAGCCAATTGCTCCACTTCTTCCCACACATCTTGATTGAATCTTGGAGTCAAAGCATCATCAGCACGAAAGTAATTAAAATCAACGACCACGGAGTCTTCAGGTTGGCCAAGATATGCCTCAGATGCCCTAATGAAACGTATCAAAAACCCATTGTATATATCAACCCCACAAAAGTTTTCTGGTTTTAGGTCTCTTAGTTTCTTCACGTCTCTGATGAAGTCTCCAAATTTTGATGCTGGAAATATTGCTGTTGTTTCATAGAAGAAGAGGCCATTGATTCTTGGGTCCCATGCACATGAGTTGTCTGCGGCTGTTGAGTATAGGCATGAGCCTGAGGTTTGCATTTTGCCCTGGGAACCAGTTACTGGGTACCCAGTAAAGATTAGGCCATTCTTCAAGCCATTAGCCACTAATTTCTTCACCCCCAAAAATGAAGCTGCCATTGTGCATTTTCCACCCAAGCTGCGTCCATTATCCATGGTTTTCTCTGCACATTTCATATTTACAGTCTTAAATTAATTTTTTATATTCTTGTACTACTAGTGATGTTTTCAACGAACAAAACTACTTGTACCATCTCAATTAAGTACCTAGTGTAAATTGAAATTACAAAAGTGGGTATCATCTCAATTAGAAAAATTAGTGCACCAAATGATTAGTGGAGATCGTACTAATAAGAGCACTCAGTAACATTTAACACACATTTTTAACCACATCTTTTCAGAATTGGGACCCATCTCGCATAAGAGATGCAATAAATATTTTTTCTTTTACCAAGTAACACAACAATTAATTTGTTTAATATGTTGCCCTAAAGAACAGAAATTAATGTTAAATGAAAGAATGTTATTACCTGTTGCTCTAATACTCTTGGAGATGAGAATAGAATTGGATTGGAAGCCTAGGAAATCATATGTTCCATCGCCTGAGGCATTTAAGGGAACTCTGTTATCATATCTGTAAGCAGATGTATGCTTTGATGGGTACCAAGTTATATCTGCAAACTCATATTTCTTAGCATGGTCCATGTATATGTTCTCAATTTGAGCATCATCCGTAAAGTTGTAAGCTATGCTCCTTTTGAATCTTGGCTCTAGCGATAACTTCACCTATTGACCAATTCCAAAGTTATCTATTTAAATAACTTAAGGATACATAGCATAATGAATTAAATTCGCGACACGATAAACATTTAATGTTATCAGACAAATGTTTATGTCGTCATACTGCAAATCTGGATGAGACGTTAAGATAACATTTTATATATATATATATATATATATTCAATTAAAGCAATTGAAGACAGGGTGTACCAACCTTGGAAATGACACCTAATAATCCCAATGATACTTTGGCAGCATTAAAGATTTGATCTTTTGGTTCTAATTTGATAATCTTGGCAAACCCTTCTGATTGTTTTGCTGGAACAATGAGACTGAGCCCAACAATATGATCATGCACAGCTCCTCCTTTTCCCCACCATGAGCTCCCATGTGCCCCTGTGCTTACAAGCCCTCCTACACTCACACCCTCCCAATATGGCGCAGCCACCAAGCTCAATCCGGCTTCTTCCACCGCGTCGATCAATCGGCGCAGCCCTATGCCAGCATCAACCGTGACAGCCAAATTCTTCGCGTCGATTTCAATCGAGGAGCTGTATTTGGCTGTGCTTATTAGCATTGAATTCCCGGAGCTTGTGGCAGGGCAGGCCAGCTTGGGGATGGTGTGAGAAAATTGGCTCACAACTTTGACTTTGAGCTTGTTCTGATTTGCATAAGCCACAGCTAGCCGGAGCTCCTCTTCGGTTGTTGGGTAAGTGACATTCTGAACACGGCACTCTTTTCTGTCACCCCATACCCCATAGGAGTTGTAGAGGTTGCAGCCATTTTTGTCGCATCGAACCGGGGGTTCAGGCGGCATGGCTTCGATGGAGATCAACATGATTGCAGCCCAGATGACATGGTGAAGAGCACAAAGGAGCCACCAAAATCTGTGCATAATATGATGTCTAAAATCTGGTCCTGGTTTTTTTTTTTTCTGCAAACTGTAAAGAAGGCTTTTTGAGGTTTTTGAAGGAACGGGTTTTCTTATAAGAGGAAGGGCAATGCTTTGAAGGGAAATGATGGAATTAATTACTTGAATTGTACGCTACGATTTGGAAATATAATTCAATTTATACCAACTTGGGGTGGCCCTTTTTCGGTAGGGTTGGCAAGGGGGCTTGTTCGCGCGGGTCAACGGGACCGATAACTATTTTGTTTAAATTCCTTTTTTTTTTTCTTTTTTCTTTCTGATATAATAATGATTTAGTATGTAAAGTGCAAAGCATAAAATGCAACATCTGCTAAACGAACCCTAAAATTAACTGAGTACACCCTATAATCTAAGTACACCCTAATATTTAAATCAAAATATAAAATTAACCAAGCACACCCTATTTAATCACCAAAAATACCCCTATACACTCTATCACACAACACCAAACCTAATGCCTCCTCTGCAGCTGGAGATGATTTTATTGAAGATATTACAACCATTGTAAGTTGTTTTGGATTTGTTTTCCGATCTCTAGTTATTACTGGATGAATTTAAAATTAACCTACTACCCTTTGAAATTTCTACATAGCCATTCAATGCTCATACTGGTCGTCTAAATCTGTTCCGTAAGTCTCTATTTTTAATTACTCTTCCTTCTTCCTTTTGTAGTTCCAGAACCAAATAATAAATAGAAAAAAAGAAAAAAGAAACCAAGAGAATGTTCTAAGTTTGAAGGGCTCAACTTTCATCCAATAAATTATTTATTTATTTTTCCTCCTCGTATGAATCATCCACAACCCCTTAAAGAACCTGTCGGAGTGGACTCCATGGAGCATGTATCCGCTAGAGTGTTATCTACCACAAATGACCAAGATCTGTATCAAACAAACAACTTCATAGCATTTGCTTGCGTTTGATTAGGGTTGAATATAGTGCGTAGGGTGTACTTATTAAAATAATTTGTTTCATAATTCAATATATCCATTTTGGTCATTTTATATTAGGATAAAGTAGTAATTCAATAAATAGTTTGATAGTAGGGTGTACTCAGTTAATTTTAGGGTTCATTTAGCAGCACTCTTAAGAAATATCTAAGAGCAAATGACGCTGTAGTGCATCGGTTTTGGAGCAATTGCTGCATTCAAGAAAATGTCCTGAGTTCGAGTCTTAGTATTCGTATAGTGTGTGTAAGTTTAGTATAATATCGCCCCTCTCAATAAGAAAGATCCTTAAACAAAAATATGAGTTCGAGTCTTCATATCCGTATAGAATGTGTAAGTTTAGTATAATATCGCCATTCTCAATGAAAAATATCCTTTTAAAAAATCTAAGAAATATCCTACATATTTATTAGTAATATAGAGGATGCGGTTAAGAAAAGGCCCAAAGGCAGTAAACGCATATAAAATATCCTACATATTTATTAGTAATATAGAGGATGCGGTTAAGAAAAGGCCCAAAGGCAGTAAACGCATATATGTTGACAGCCTTTAGTGTAGACTCAATTGTGATATTTGAACCAGGGTCTTGAAGATGTTTACAAATATTTCCATAAGCTTAAAAATACCAACGAGAAACACAATAAAGAGGATTTGGCTTAATTATGAATAAAACGAGAAATAACCACATTTTGTTGATCCTCTGCTATTTTGGGTCTAAATTCTCTCTCTCTTGAAGGGGGTCTTGAAGCGCCTTCAATAGCTGGGCTCCTTTCCTCCTCCCCCTGCCACTACAATCCCCTTTCAACGCCAGCTCCACCGCACGCGCCACCTCCTCCGCCGGTGCCGCCGCCACAGCCTCCGCAGCCTCTTCTTCCCCGTACCCACCGCTATAGATCACCGCTAACACACCGATAGCATACTCCTTCCCCCGCGCCGATGTCCGCCCCATCATCATCACCATAATCGGCACCGCCAGTGCGTGGGCCCTCACCGCCGCAGCCCCCTCCGCCACAGTACACATGAGCTCCAGTGCCGCGAGTGCCCGCTCTGCCGACGCGGCCTCCAGCTCCAGTGCCGTCTCTACCACGGCCGCCGCCGCACCCGCCTCCACCGCCACGTGGCGGTTGCCCTCCGCCAGGCAGAGGGCTAACAGAATTTTAGTCGCCGCTTTAGCCCCCGCTTTGTTTTTCAAATTTCGCACCAACCCGCGCATCAATTCGGGTGGGCAAACCGGGTCAGGTGGTGGGTAGGGGACGAGGGAGCGTTCTAAGAGTTGGAGAGCCGCGAGCTGCTCCGGGTGTGACCCGACGCTGAGCTGGAGCTCCGCTGCGTGGAAGAGTTCTTGGAGGTTGGTGGAAGAGATGGGTGGTGGTGGTGGTGGTTTTGATTTGGGTTCGGGTTTCGGGTCAGGTTCGGGTTGTGGGTAAGGGAGGATGGGCGAGTCAGGGAGAGCGAATTTCCACTGGGTAAAGCTTTGGGAAGTTGAGGAGGAAGAGGACTCGGATTCAGGCTTGGAGGGATGGTGGGTTGGCGGGTCGGGTTGTGTTGGAGAGGGAGGTGATGAATCTAATGACAGTGAAGGTGGTAATGGGTCGGTGGAAGAGAAGGGGAGAGGTGGAGGGTGAGGGGTTGTGGGGCTGGGGACGGTCCGGGTGCAATGGCGGAAGAACCCGCAAGAGAAGAGCTGGGTTTTGATCTTGGGATGCTGGGCTTTCATGGGTTCTGACTGTTTTGGTGATTAGAGAGAGAGAGAGAGAGAGAGAGAGAGAGAGAGAAGTGGTGAATGCTTTGGTTGATTCAGAGAGAGGAGGAAGATGATGAAAGTTGTAAGGAAGTGGCCATGTGAGTTGTGGGGAGTGTACTACAGAAGTTCCAGTATGTGTCAGTTTCCACTTTCACAGAAAAATATTTTAAAAAGAAATTTTTTAAAAATGTCGTGGCATTTCTTCTAGCCATTTGAAGGCAAGAAATGCTCATAATAATTAAATAATAAAAAGAGGTGCCATTTACTGTTCATCACATGAAATTATAAATAAAATAAAAATAAGTAAAAAAACTTTTTTACTTGCTGCTACACAGAGCAATCACCGGCATGGTACAACAGATACAGAACAGAGAGTCAGTAATTTAAAAACTTCTAGGACCAGGGCAGCTCAATCATGGACTGGCTAAGCCAGTACACAGAGCAGGGGAAAAAAAATCTGTATGGCCAAATATCAAATCTGCAGACACAATTTGGATCTAAAAGGCGCGAAAGAGTTCACTATTTTCTTGCACTTCAAATGTACAACATGAAGACTAAATTTGGATTGTCAATACAACTAAACAATATAGAAATTTTACAACAAAAAAATGCCTCTAAAGGAAGGCATGCTAAAAAAATTACAAGTTAGGAGTGGAACCCTCCTAATTTAAGTTAAACTAAGGGCCAAAAAACAAAAATGTCAAGATGCGAAAGACTAGCGGAGGTGTTACCTCCACTTCTCTCGTAGTTCTTTCTTCTCTGACAAAATCCAGGTTACAAAGATTGCTGCTATGAGTGCAACAATGGTGATGAGAAGCAATGCATAGCTGAAATCATCTGTTAGCGAATCGTAGGTCCTCGAGGGTGCGAGTTGAGTGAAAAACAGATCCACTCCGTATGCAAAGGCAAGCGTTGTTGACTCCAGCTTGGCTGGTACTGTCATTATGCCTCGAAGTCCTTCCACTTTGAGGGCATGCGTCACATAGGACTGCATGTGCAAAATTTGTATAATTATAAGATGTTAGGACCAAATCTTCATAAAAAATGAGCTATACTGCTGTCTCATTCATATAGCCTAACCATTTAAAATCTTTAAACACCTCAACTATTTTTTGATTTCACCACAATTAACCACAGAACCAAGAATGTGATATCCAAATACCACATAAAGTTATACACTAAGCCAAGTGACTCACATACAAGAGCATTGCTTCTTTGAAAACCGAACTTGCAAAATTTAGAATAACAGTAGTAATAGTGATTATAATAATAAGAGAAATATGAAACTAAACAACCATAGCTTATATTCAGTCTATTATAATAATAAGTGCAATGACTACGTTGCTAGCAAGCAGATTTTTGTGACCATACAGTAAGATTGAAGGTACTGCTGACAATTAAGAGGATCTAAGGGAATGTTAAGAAGTGCTTTCTCAAAAAACACTCTCAAAATGAAGATGGTAGAGTGGCATACCTGAGGAATTATTGGCAATGAATCTGTTAGAGGAATAATGCCTTCCTCTTTCTCAGCTGTTGTGGGGTTGACTGATCTACGGGGATCCAGAAAACGCTTGTCAAGTGCCAAAACCTACAAAGTGCTTACTCTCATTAAAGACATATATAAAAACAAATCCAATTAATTACATGTGAACTGTTGCCCCAAAATGAGGAATAGAATCTCAAAGAACAAAACAAAATAATAACTCAGGACCCTCAGAGGTTATCCTACCTGATCACCAATTGTACCAATAAGAACCTGCTTTGAAGTTATACCCTTTGCTGTTAATGTCACAGCTAGAGCTTTTACAGAATACGTGAAGAAGTAAGACTGTGATTTTGTCACAACCTCTGGTCGAGAATATGAAGAAATAGGCGAAGTAAGATTATGCTTTCCCAGAACAAGCTTCCAAACATCCTTATTATCCTGTTAATTGTATTTTGATTCAGCTTGCATTATTTTGGGAACCAATAGACACAATAATACACAAAATATTTAAGTTGTGATTTAGCATACCGCTCGGGACTGATCGTATATCTCAATGACTGACATCTCATATCTGTGTGCTCTAAGATTAAAGTAGTGGTAAACAACCCAATTCTCACTAAAAACCTGCAAGATGTATAAAGTTGTTAAGAGAAAGTCTCTCATTCACACAACCATAAACAAAGCTGAAGGAAAACTTACAGCATGCACAGGCCCCTGTGAGCCATGGTGGGTCATACGATGCAATATACGACCAGTTACAGTATCAATAAGATATACAGTCAACCAGGACTCCTCTGGGGTTGCTGTTCCAATTGGACCACTACCCTTTGGTGCAACAGTTGCCACAAAGAGTAGATTTTTAGATATATACTTAAACATCACATCTTCATCTGCAATAGCCTTTGCTTGAGTATGAACAACCTAGAGAAACACAAACCTCTGTCACAAAAATATATACAGCGAAGCATTCTCAAAGACGAAAAGACTAGCATTCTTCTTTTTAGAAAAGAAAATCCATTTGTTTAGAAAGAGGCAAGGGGAAACAGCTCCAGCACACAAGGATAAAAATGGCAAGGTTTAGAGGGAATGGTCAAACTAACCCAAAAAAAAACAGAGAACCAATAATATCATAAAACATACAAAGTGAAGAAATTAAAAGCTACAATAGATTCAAGAAAAGGAAAAATTGCAAACTTTTCAAGGACAATATGTTCGCCAAACCCATATATTAAGTGGCAGCAAGAGAAAACCATACCTCACTCAATTTTCTTGTCACAGTTGCAATGATCCTTTCTGAGTCAGATGGGAATACAATTGACCATATATCCTTGGACTCAAAGCAGTAGTTATCTATGACTTCCTGGATGCAATTGCTCTTCAAGACATGTCCTTTGATGCCATTGTCAGCCTCAACTGAGTACCAGTATATGTTTGTAAGCTCACGTTGAAAAATATCAATGGCCTCAGATGTTCTCGGGTATAGATGCCCGTGCTGGTTTACATCTATTAGTAGATGAAGACGCTGTTCTGTTGAATCAGTAAATGGCAGTGGTATAACTTGCGCAATAGAATGTATGGCAGCCATGGAATTAATTTCCTTGCCAGTGTATGCATCAACAATAGAAAGAACACCTGGTGCATCAGAACTTTTCCCACATCGACCTACTACAAGGACAGATGGATTTTCATCCAGTGCATGATGATGGGGTACCTGCCACTGATAAATATTCAACCCAGTCGGATACTTACACGTTTCAGATCTACGCAGAGTAGGTAGTAAGAGAGACCAGACAACTTGTCCATATCCAGTGTGCAAGGCAAAAAGTTTTCCTGCTCTCGTAAGCACTATGAGCAGCTTCCGGAAACCATTATGGTCACGGGTCATTTTGCTCTTTTCAAAACTTTTCAACCTCATCTCTTGTATAGCTGCAACATCCTCAGCACTTGCAAGCATTAAGGTTCCCTTAAGCTTCAGTATGTGTCCCTTCAAAATAACACAAAATCAAATGAGAAATGAAAAAACCTGTGAGAGAGGAAGTAGTCAATCAGATATATATATTCCGTATTTAAAACCCTGGTCCAAAATGACAACAGAAGTATGCAAAACATCAAAGGAGCATATGCACGAGCGCACACACACACACAGTGCATACCAGACCGCACTGCTATGAAATTCTATAGAATAGGATGACAATGCCATTACATTATGGTGAAACTTGCAGAAAATTGACACCTTTTAACCTTGATTTTAAGTTTCCACTCTATTAAAACACATCATAGTTCATACCTTAAGCCACTCAAAGAGGTTCTGCTCCACTTTTGCTACAGATACACCTTCCTTTTCCACAGGTAGTTCTGATGTTACCACATCAACAATTGAGGCAAGCCCATCCTCCCTACTCCAGACAATTGCACCTTGTTGTAACAATAAAAGTGAATGATCCTCCATCACAATTAGGGCCCTAAACCCGTGAGACCTGTCTGTCCGGATATAATTGTTAATGAAAATCTTATGGACAGTCCCCCTCTGATTGTCCATTTCAATACTCTCTTTCAGCAAATCACCACTCAGGTCATGGCTAGGCTTCACTGTGAGATGGATCTTACCATCTCCATGTTGAATTAGTGCAAAAGCTTGTTGGCCCTCTGAAAGTGAGATTGCATCACTAATAGCCGCCACATTGTTTATTTTATCCAGTACCTCTAATTTTCCTTCACCAGTCACTCTTATGAATACCACCGCTCCATCAATTTTAACAGAAAACACTCCAGGAAGTTTTGAAGGTAATAGCACTGGTGTTCCAAAAGAATCCCCAAAGATATCAGATATGTGTGTCTGTTGATAGTTAATTTCTCCATCCTGAAAGCTTATAATTACCAACTTTGATCTTGTGGAATCCAATGTCACAAGAATTTCACTTGAAACTACTAGCGCTTCACCAGAAAAGCCACCTGAAAACGTTGCACTGTTGTGTTTCAGCAACTCTCCATTCCTAGCATTGATCTTATATGCATCAAACTGGGAAGAACCAAAAAATCCTAGTACATAAATTATATCACTGCCAAGAGGCTGAATAATCTGTTGAACCTGTACACTGAAAACATGGAAACAAAACAAATATTAAGGAAACAGAATTGTTTAAAAATAAAAAAATGAAACATAATATTAATATTACAAATAATTATTTTAAGCATAAAATTCTAAATCTGCATACCTTTCCGGTGCAATTTCCTTTTTCCAAAGAACCTCACCGTCAATGCTAGAAATAGCATGTAGAGACCCTTTACCAAAAACAAGGATCAAATTGTCCTTGTCAACTTTCAAGTTTGTCTGCAAAAGATAACAATAATGAACCACATGTTCAAAAAAATATATATACATAAACTGAATTGTGTATAGCCTTCTTTTTTATTTTTAAAGAAACGAAATTGTGTATAGCCTATACACCTGTGCAACCTGCACCTGAGCGTTTTATAGAGGAAAAGCTGCAAATTAAGCTAGTGAAAAGGAACAAGAAAGAATGATTCAAGATATAAGACGATCTTGAAACACAAATTATTAATTTGGAAGAAAGTTTTGATGCTTATGATAGTGACTGGGGGATCAGAAGCCATGACTACTAAATGTAATAACAATGGATGAGAGAGTGCGAGTAAATATAAGACTTATATCAAGATGCTAAATTAGAAGATAACAGTGAGTAAAAAATGTGGTTTACTAACCGGGACAGTTAATAGTGACTTTGAGGCCCCTGAGCCCTCCAAAAAAGACTCCCACACCATCTGACCATCAGGAAGGTTCCATGCTCTTAAAATACCTCCCCCTGATGAGAGGGTTATGACATCTGAAAATACAAAATGGAATGTTCAACTGTATGATCAACAATATAAGTTCACTGCTCAAGCCTTTAATAGGTACTTCATAAAAGAGAAAAATAATGCAGAAAAATTCAATCCTCATTCTTTTTCTATTAGCAAATCCCATACTGTTATAATGTGAAAACTGTTTGTGATCAAAGAAAGAATCTTTTAACCACAGAGCTCAAACTATGCAATCGTTTATTTTAGAGGCAAATGAAAAACATTATATAAGACAAACGATGAGTGCAAGCATAACAATTACATTTTCCCAAGGCTATGTCAATTCCGTCTATGACATCATTGCTCCCAAGAACATGTCTCCAGACTGCACAAAACAAAAGCACAGATTAACATTGATTTGAGGCGTGAGCTGAGGGTACAGAATAAATTGACATTCTCAACAGTGGAACCTACATATCTCCCCGTGGCGGAGATCAAGTGATGCTATAACATTCTCTTCAGTGGACACTACAACACGCCTTCGCCCGCTTTTCTGAGTATGGAACACTGCTCCCTTCACTTTCCCTATGTACTGCTGGTGCCTGCATTGAAAGAGAAAATTAGAAAATTCAATTTAAAGCTTTTCAGAACATAATCAATGAACTGACTAGAATTGAAGCTCTGTTTGGGTATCGAGATATTGTTCGAAAGCTAAAAACTTTCTATTAACAGCTCGAGACGATGCAATTGGGTATAACACAGATCGAATTACAAAGCTATCCAATAAGAGAGAGGATTGAATTCGTTTCGATTCAGAACTATCAAATCAAAACAATAGAAAAACAGGTCATGAGCGAAGTGATTTCAATCGAATTGAAAGTTTTCTTCCTTTTTCTATGATTTCTGGGCGATGAAAACAGAGGCAAAACAAAAGGAGTATGAGATTGAATCTTACCAATCCATGAGACCAACTTGATCTTCGTAAAGCGAAAGACTGAGATTTGTAGACGATAAGATAATCAGAAGAAGCAGAAAAACCCTACTCGCCATGCTCGTCGTGCCCATGGCGACTCTCTCTCTCCCTCTCTCTCTCTCTCTCTCTCTGTGGGCGTGACAACGAATGAAGTGATGGATCTGAGACTACGATGAAGAGTTTTGTAGGAAGTAAGAAGAACTTCGAAGTGAGCAAGGAGAGAGAGTCACAGAAGTGCGAAGAGCCGGCTCTTCGGAGAAAAGGGAAATCCGAAATGACGGAAATACCCTTCTGTATGGACCGGTCGTAGCGGGCTGAAAATTTTGACCATTGGGTCGAGTTGGACTTAATATATGAGCGAGGCCCGGCCCAAATAATTTCCAAAAATGCAAATAGTTTATTGGAAAAGTAGATGTGCATAAAGAATGCTTTTTTTCGCCAAAAACCTGCTTCATTTTAAAGTTAAGCAGTTTAAGGTGTTTGGTAAAAAGAAAATATCCCGATTATTTTAAAAGCAATGAACTTTTGACATCAGCTTTTAAAAGCAGGCTCTGGGTTGCTTTTCAAAGTTGCTTTCAAAAGAAGCAGAGATGAACATTTAATGAATTTTTTTAATTCCCAAAATACCATCATTCATTTTAAAAAATGACCCCCCCTCCACTCCCACATCCACCTCCACCACTTGCACCACCACATATT